ACATCTAATACTGATGCCAACACTCACGCTCTTTTAAACGCTCTGGGCATCCTCCCAAATACACATGCCTGCTCCTTCCTTTTCCAACAGCATGGCGTTTATGAAATTACTCATGGTTTTCCATGCTCATGCTATTGCCAACATGGCCCAACATTTCTTAAACATAAACACGAGAGGTGCCCTTGAGCCACAGAAATCTCTCAACACACCTGCTGTAAACCGGCGACACTAAAAGTACTTGTAATTGGTCTCCTAGCTTCCTTTGGAAGGTGTCTTTGTTACTCTTCCCACTGGGAGATAGAATCTACTTTTTTGTCTTTAAATCTGAGCTACTCTTGGGTTTGGCTTTGGCCAATACAATATGGTGGCATCATAGAAAGCTAGTTCTGGGCTTTGGCCACCAGGAGCTGTGTAAGCATCCGTTTTCTTCTTAGGTCCCTGCCAGGCCTACACAAGCCAGCTGGTAGCATGTGAGAGGCATATGGAAACAAACTCTTGGCATCCGAGATGAAGCTGTCCTAGATCAGGCAGCTTTTCTCTGAGCCGTTTATCAACAACATGAACATAAATGAGTCATCCGAGCCAGCCCCGATCGGCAGATACACCGAATCAACTCGCAGACTTGGGAGGAATAAGCAAACATTTATTTTAAGCATCTAAAATTGGAGCTCATCTTTACTGCATCAGCAGCTAGCCAATACAACCAAAATGTGAATTCCTTTTTAATTAGGAGTCAGCAGAGGCAAAACATGCATTTCCATTTTTAGTCTGTTCCTAATTTGGACTGATTTCCCTCTAGATTGGATGGGCCATCTTCCCTTGGGATCTCCCTCCACCATTTGAAGAATTCTCTATATTTTCCCAACCTCATATATTTCCCTTTCTTTGTTATGCATCCCTGGCAGGCGCCCAAGAGTGAGTGAATGTGCTTGGATACTGAGCATAGCTGAAATGCCTCCATTCTGTTCTTACCTTTCATGTGTATGCAACTTAGTTACACATCTAGCCTGGAAACAATTCCCTCAAAATTTTCTTTAAGTATAGTTAAATGAGTTTAATTTACCCAGGCTAAATAAAACACCTTCATGAGGTGCATTTAGTTCAAGAGAAAACTTCCAATTTTGTATTCTTAAAGGCCTCCAATTATTTTACAAATCCAGGTGCCCTTGGTTTGATAAGGGTACTACAGGTGCACAGATATCTCCTATTTGCTCAGGCTCAGTGTGGTCTGAGAGTCAGATTATTTTGTAAATACCCAAGCCTCTGGGAAGGTCTTTTGGGGGCACATCCCATCCTGGAGGCTTCCCCTGGGCAGGAAGCTATTATTCCACCACGTCTCATGTCTCTCTTTCTTCTAAAATGGCAGGTGAGAAGTCTGATTCTACCCTGACTCTTTTGTGTTTGTTTGTTTGATTTTAGAGACAGGGTCTTTCTATGGAGCCCAGGCTGACCTATCAGACTTATGATCTTCTCATTTACTTTTGACTCCTGAGAGACTTCTGGTTGTACAGATCTTAGCCAACTCCACAGTATCTTGCCCATGCCCGAACTTGAGTCTTGGTTCTATATATAAGGCCTACTTCTTTTCCCTAGGAAATACAGGATCATTTCTTTCCCAAAAATGTTGAGAATTTTTATGACAATGACTTGATGGAGTTTTGCTTTTGTCTATTTTATTAAGTATTCTTCTGCTCCTTAATCAGATATTCATATTCATAAATTCTGGGACATTTTCTTGTTTTGTTTTTTGCATGATCTCTCCTCTCCACTGACAGTGTTTTCTCTTTTGATGTCTTTTCTGATTTGCCCACTAGGTTTCCTATCAGAGCTGAGTTATTGAAATGCATATCTCTCTATTTCCATTCCTTTGTCATTGCCTTTGCAATCCTATTTCTCGAATTTTATCTTACAAACCTTCTCTTGGGCTTATTTTAAAACTGTGTCCTTTTGCACTGAACTTTTTGAAAGTTCCATCTTGAGGTGCATGTGAGCATCATTTTGTACCCAGCATTCTGTCCTTCCTTCATGCTTTGCCTCCTCTCTTACTGAGGCTTTGGGTGATGGCGTTTGCTTGTTTATTTTTTCTCCATGAACTGTTTCTATCTCTTCCAAGTGGCTTGATCTTATTTGTTTTGGTCCTTGTATCGATGCTAGGTGTTTTCTGCAAGGACTTAGAACCCCTGTCTCTCAGTTTGCTGAGCCAGGCATAGAAAGGTGGGTGCCTGATAGGGTCTGAGACTTGATCCTTCCTCAACAGCTCCTGCCTGTTTCCCTAGGGCAATAACATATTAGTATCTTCAGACTTTTTTCCAGGCTTATAAAATTCCCTAGAAAGGTGGAACTTCTTGAAGGGAGCAAGACTCTGCCAGTGTTCTGGGAGGCAAGGAGAGGAAGAAGAACAGGGAATCTGAACATTTCTATACATGGCAGAGCTTCAGTGTGTGTTATGTGTGTGTGTGTGTGTGTGCATGCATGCACGTGTGTGCGCGCTAGAGCACATGTACGTGCACATGCGATTTGTATTGTCAACCTTGTCGCCCTTGTTTCCCTTGGCTTTTATACTCTCTCCAGAGAATATAATTCTGCTCCTTTGTGGGCACTGTGAAAGGACAATAAACTAGACTGCATAGAGGAGGAGAGGGGACTGGGGTTCCCACAGCTTCCTACAAGAACTCTGAACCCATCTCCTTCCTCATCATTTGCAGCATAGCTACCAATGCCAATTTCTGAGCCTCTGTGGCACTCAGCCCACAGGCATGGTTATATCTCAGCTTTCCTCAGAATTAATTTAGGGTTAAAGACTTCCAAATTATTTAACCAGTTACCAATTAACCACCATTTTTCAGTGACAGTTAGTGTCATTTCCTCTTCCAAGCTTCTCTTGAGAATAGTTCATCTCTATACTGTCCTATCTGGCCCAACATTCACTAAGGATCTAAGAATTGCCCTGAACTTTTGATCTCACTGCCTCTACCTTCCAAACAGTAGGATTACAGACATATACCACTACATCTATATATGCAATGCTGGGAATGGAACCCTGGCCCTTGTGTATGCCAGGCAAGTACTCTCTCAACCGAGCTACAGCCTCCGTGCCTCTTCCTCGTGGTTAAGAAGCTGTCATGGTGAATGGAGTGGGGGTATGTTCACTACTCTCTTAAATGGAGCCTGAAGGCAGTTCTAGGCATTTTAGGAAGTCACACTTGACAGCATCTGACTTGCGTTTTAGATGGTTCTTAACAATAGGTCTGTGGGGTCAAACTTTTCCTCAACACCAATTTCAAGGGATAGAAGCTCATCTAGATGTTTGCTGTTGTTGTTGTTATTTCTTTCTTTAAGAAAAAAAAAGGAGGAAGCTGGCTACAGTGGTACCTTACTACAAGTACTTAGGAAGCAAGGTGATCAAGAGTTCTAGTTTCTGGAAATGACTCAGGGGTTAAAATACATACAGCACATGTTGTGAAGATTGAAGATCAGATCCCCAGAACCCATGTAAAATGGGTGGGCATTATGGAACTCCATAGCAAGTGTAGTGATATTGGAGAGCTTTGGACTTGATTTAAAGACCCTGCCTCAAGGAATGAGGTGGAAGAACCATCAGGGATGACCTTGATTGATTTCGGTCCCAGGCTTCCACAGACATGTCCACTCCTACAAGTTTTTCTACACACGTGCAAACAAAACAAATAAAGGAACATGACCCCAGCTGTCTCAGGAACCTCTGACTTCTTCCATGTTAGTCAGACATCCAAACATCCAGTCTGCCCCTTTCCACTTCCCAGGCCCCTCACCTCAGAGACCATGGCTTCCATTTCTTAGGACCTTTTAATGTTTTCCAATACACACTTTCAGTTGGGTACTACACAGACCATGCTTTCCTCATTATTATTGGTCAATCAATAAATATACAAAAAACCAGAGAAAGGGAGAGGGTGGTCTCTGAAAAACTCAAAGGAACAATAGCAAAAGTCATTGTACAAACATTACAATTGGCTACATTTGAAATGTCAACCCAGAAGATTTACTCAAAGAAATAAAATGTAAGAGTGGACAATTCCTGTTCTTCTGAACATTTTACTTTTACAGAGAAGGTGGCTCTTTCTTCCACTTCACTGCAAACGTCTTAAATGGATATTGGCTATAAAGCCAACTCTTGGTACTAAGGATGTCAATGTAAAACTTTTTTTAAAGGTTCTGGAAACATCCATTTTATCTAGCTAGAACCTACAAAACACAAATGTGAAGGTATCTTTCGCCTCTTGATTTTTTTACCGAAGGCTACTCGAAAGAAATCCTTCAGGATACAGATTTACAATTGCTAGTGAAAATGACATCTGAAGTGCTCGTGTTATTTTACATGAATCACTAAATGCCTGCCCCTTATTTTTATTAACAAGCTCCCAGTTCAATGACTTAGTCTATATCACCTAGCAAGTGATTGATAGGAGTAACACAAAGTCAGGCTATGCTCCGGGAACTATAACAATCACAGTAAACAATATCCAACCCAATCCACTGGTGGGCATGTCTAGGCTGGGGAGAGAATTCTCTCTAGCCCTGAGACTTCCATGGCTCTCCTTGTGCCTCCAAAGGGTATCTAGGGATCAAGGAGAGCTTGGCAGAGCCCTTTCATACCAATGGCAGAGTGACTCGCCTACAGTGAGCTGGTTTTGGGCTGGTTAGCCAGGACAGCTCTAAGGATATGGGGCATCCTAACACCATGGAGAACAACAAAGAATAACCTTGTGTCTATTTCAACTGGAAAAGACGAAGAAAACTAGGTGTCTAAATATGAAACTGACTAGTAGCATTTGCAGAGGAAGGAAAAAGGAAGTTTGTCGAAGCTATGGCATTGGGAAGAGGTAAGCAGGGACAGAAGGAGGCAGGAAGGGGGATTGGAAGAGCTGAGGCTGGGAATGAGTGGTGGAAAGTCTGTGTATGGCCCTTAAATAAAGCCTGAGTCCACTCTTGACATAAACTCAAATCAGATTTAGATGGGAAATTTTTCTCTTGTTTTGTTTTTATTTGACAAAAATATTAAACATATAAACTTAGTCAACAGTAACATCATGGGAGCCTTAGAAAAGAAGTATTACTTTACGGGAAACCTTACCTTACAGATTTAATTTCTTCTACAAATAACCTGGGAAGATCCAGGAGCAATGGGACATTCTGGCAGATGAATAAATGCCACCAAACCCAGTATGTAAAAAGAATATGAGGTTAGAGGTTAATACCATTCTTTCATGGCTAAACCATAAACCTGCTTGTCTGGTGGTAAGATTCCAGTAGTGGGCAGCCCTGTGGCTTTTGGGGGGATTCCCAGGCAACTCATTCTGAGTACCAACTGTTTGTGAAAATGTCAACAAACACATCCATGGAAATAGTGGGATGGGTTGTACACCACACCCTCGTGATGACAACTACAGCTTGTTGTCTACATTTTAATTTCGGTTGGCTTCTCCTTTTACTATAAGGCATCACAAGCCTCCACCATACTGTTTGGTGAAATCACTACTAGGACTGGCTTCTATGAAATAGGACCCTAAAAACCGTAGGACATAGAAACTTAATGTACCCTTTAAGAAAGAGAAAAGGGTGGCCACCAAAGCACAAAGTGACCAAAACTTGCCTACCGACAATTCAGATTCCAGAATAGGAAAGAAACCCTTTTGATACCCTAGATACAAAACAATGTTTCCTTCCTTGATCTTCTATGAGATTCAGCTGGATGAACCCGAGTTGGGCACAGGTGCCCTAACATGGGTTTAGGAGGACCATTCTGAAGTCATCCTGATACGCTGTGAAGACTCAGACCTTGCAGATTAGAAACTGAAGCACAAGGTCAAGCTAGAAGATTGACAGGTGTTTATTATGAATCAACTTATACCCTGTTATGCTTCTGACAAAGTAACCTAAAAAAAGTCATATTGAACACAGGACCTCCAGGGCTTGATATTTCAAAAACAAAGATAAATAGCTTACTATAGATAAATAGCATCACCCTTTGGGGATCTTTCAGAAGCATCTGAACTTTTTCCAGCAGAGAGGGGAGTCTATAAAAAGGGTGTGTAACCAGTACACCTGATCTCCCACCCCACTGGAAAGCAATGCCCAAGGACTGGACTGCTGGAGAGGCAATATGGACCCATTCAAATTTCCTCCCAGAGACCAATTCCTCTAAGCCCTGGGGAAAGTCCCTAGCTGGTCACAATTACCTGGAACTTAGGGTAGGGAAAGGGTTCAATAGGAACCAAGAATATGAATTTGATAGAAGCCACCTGTAGCATACCCTGGGAATGCAAGGCCTCTCAGGAGGAACTGGAAGAGTCAAATTCTTAATGGAATATTCTTTGGGCCCTCGTTTCAGAAAGCAATGCTGTTTTCATAAATTGGAACGGACTTTTTTGAAAATGTAAAAGGAATAGAAAATTTTGTGCTGAAACTATCCCCAATGAAAGTAATCAGTAGCACACTGCATCTGTGAAGGGTCCCAGCTCCCAGTATTGACATGTCAGCAATTTGGTGTCTTTCCAAGTTACTGGGGTAGTCACTACACCCCAATCTTCATGTCCACATTCTGCAGATTCCGGGTCTCGTCAGCGGTCATAAACTGGTCTGGAGTCTCTGATGGTTCCTTATTCACCAAATGCACCATTTCCTGAGACTTGCTGGCCTCTCCGTTGAGCTCACTTGTCTTCCTGTCCTCCACCTTCCCATTGCCACTGTTGATCACCAGCTTTTTCTTCTGCCCACACCTGATGAGTTTGTAAAACATTGTATGAGAAAAGATGCACAATCAATCAACCAACCATCATCATCATGACTGACATCACTGCGGAGATCACCATGATCGTCGGCACAATTTAGCATGGTCTTCCTCTGTGCTAAGCACTGGGCATGGTACCTTTTCTACTTGGACTTCCTAACACCTAACACCAGCATTTGCTTGTTTGGAGGCAGGGTTTCTCAATGTTTACTTGTCCGTCCTGGAACTCACACTGTTGACCAGGCTGATGGTGAACCCACAGAGATCTGCCAGCTTCTGCCTCCCAAGTGCTGGAATTAAAGGTGTGTGCCAACACCGTCCAGCTGACGTCAGCACTTCTTAAAGTAAAGTCCCTAGTCTAGCAGCTAAAGCATCCAGGGACTTCTCAGACGTGGAAAGTATCCACCTTACTGCTTCCTGAAGCAGAAATCAGAAAGTGGTGGGCCCAGGATCTGAGGTTAACAGACTATCATTGCAAGTACTCTGTAGGCTGAGACAGGAAGATCACAAGTTCAAGGTCTCCCTGGACTACAAAATGAATTCAAGACCAATCTTGGATAACTCATTGAAACCCAGTCTTAAAATAAGAAGGCAAAAGGGGTCTGGGGATAGATATATCAGTGGTAGAATACTTGCCTAGCATGCATAATGCTTTAGGTTCAGTCCATAGTATTTGGAAAAACAAAGCAAACAATAAACCAGCACACTGTGGAGGCTTCTGCTGCAGTCAATGTTGAGAATCAAGACTCCAGAAACCCAAAGTTATCGTTGCAGCCCATCCCCTTTTTAGCTGAAGAAACTCTTGGGGGTCTGAAAATTTAACAGTCTCTCTCAGCTAGTCAACAATGTAAAAATCTGGATCCTGATCCATCTGACTCTGGAGTCCTGATTCTCCTCCCCCCCATACCGCTCAAAGAAGATGTTTGCCTCTGAAGTGCCAGAGTTCCGCAGCCTCAGATAAACCATGACTACTGCTATCATAAATCATTTCTATCTGTGTATTCAAGAAAGTTCTGCTACTTCCTCTATCAGCCAACACCTCGCTGCCACGTCCGGAAAATAAGAAAGCAGCGCTGTTCCAGAAGGACAAGGCCGTATTGATTTGTTTCCTCTAAGATTGGTTGACCTTTACATAGTCCTGCTGCAGAACGTTTAGTACCAACGTAAGAAAAGCCATGTGTTGTCACTTTAAGGTTCCTTAGTAATGTTACTCAAGATTCTCAGGCAGGAAGTGGGCTTTGATAGGAAAGCGTGACTCTAACCTTGGCCTTGTGATTCTGATAGCACTGCCTGGCCCCATGCAGCCCGATTCAAAGTTTCCCCTTTGCTGTAACCTGCCCACTGGTGTGCAAAAAGCAGTTAGATTAGGCTAATGGAAGCCAAGTTTTATAGCTTCATAACTTTGATGAGAGAAAATAAATGAGCACTTATTAAATGCCCGGTCGATTCCAGGCAAAGTACAAATCATTTGCTATAACACTATTAAAACGGGTCTTGCTCCCATTTTGCAGCAGTGGGAACTGAGGAGCAGAGCACTTTGAGGGCCCCCTTGAGATCACAGAAGTCAAAACGATAGAGTCCATATTCAGATGCTAAGATTCTGAAAAGGCTGGGCTCGCCTGGCCCTGTCAGAACGAAGATTTGGAAACAGAATGAAGTTGGCACGGTTCTCCTTGCTGCTGGGTATTTCAAGGTCTAGAGTCAAAACGTCTATTATATGTGATCGTGGCTCTTCCCTATAAGACTGCCAAGGCCACAAACTTTAATCTCCTGTTTGGGAAAGTCAAAATATACTGCCTCAATGGGGAGTAGATCCTGTATCTTCCAGCACAGGTGTGGGGAAGCGTGGGAGGAAAGATGTTCCAGTTGTGAAAGAAACAGAGAAGGGCTGGGAGCGCAGGTGAGGTCTATGGACATAGCAGGGGGCATGTGAAGGCCTTAGAAGGCTTAGTGTTGAGATCTTATAGCTGTGTGTGACCTGAAGCAGCTCCCTGACTTCTCCGAGCCTCAGGCTGTTGAACTATCAGCCTCTCAAGATGGGGGCAAGAACTTCAAACAGCGGGAACTCAAAAGTCAGTCTACTCTTGCTGTTTACTGAACAATGAGAGTTGAACGAAATAAGACCTGGGGTAATCAGGAGAGAATCTGGAGTGTAGGAAGCATTCAGGGATTGCTGGCTGCAGTTGTTAGCAGGACAAAAGCCACACAATGTGAACCCTGGTGGCTGCTTCCACTGTAACCACCCTGATGGGGATAATGACATCCTATAGAGACCTTGGCACCCCTCCTCTGGGCTATCAAATTGTTTAAAAAAAAGTCCCCTAGAATTTCATACCTGCGGGGAGAAAAAGGCTGAATTCTGGGGCAGGCCAGAGAGAAACTTGTCTTTGGGATAGAAATTGCACCTAGTTCTCATACCTTGTAACAACTGCGGTGCAGGACAGCCTGGGGTCCAGACAATGCTGGGTCAAGGATGGGTCGGATCATGTCTTCACCAGAATCGCTTAGCTGTCCATACCTCTTGCCCTCTATTTAAACCTTAACCTCGTGTCTGGACTCTGAAGACCGACTCGGGGGAGAGTTGTCATGGGGTAGCTTTATTTGTTCCTCTTCTCAGTGTGACCATGCTGACTACCTCTCAGTTCTCTGATTTTCATGGTGACTGGTGGCTTGCCTGTTTGGCTGGTCTATTGGGAACGGGTGGGTAAGTCAGCTGCTAGAGCTGCCAGGGATCGGGCTCTGATCCTAACAACCCCAGGGATCAGGCTCTGACCCCCAACAATACCACCTGCCTTCCTCTATGTGCTGGCAAGATAACTCAAAGGCTGGAGAACACTGCTGTATTATTCGGAACTCTCAGGCGGCATAGCCTGTGTTCTTAGAGGACAATTGCCCAAAGTCTTATTTGCTTATCAACTGGAGCGCTGTGAGGTAGAAAGAAAATCAAAGAATTCTGGCTGTATGTATATCAATATGCCTGAGCATGCAGGCAGGACCAGACTGTTACTCTAAACCAGCGGTTCTCAGCCTTCTAATGTGGTGACATTTTAAAACAGTCCCTTGTGCTGTGGTGACCCCCAGCCATAAAATTATTTTCTTGCTGCTTCATAACTGTAATTCTGCTACTGTTATGAATCTGGATGTAAATATCTGATATGCGAATAATTTTAGGTGACCTCCTCCCCCAAGAAAGGGTTGCTCAGCTCCCAAAGGGCTACCATCCTCATCAGGGCTAACAGCCACAAAAGCCTGCAAAGGATGTTGTTGAATAAATGAATCCCCTCTGGAGGCCTTGTTTTCCACCAAACTCTCGATGATGAAAATAGAGTTCCCTGTCTCTCTTAAATGCAGTGCTCAAGCAGAAAGGCCCCTGTCTCCTAACAGGATTAGAGATGGGTTATTAGCTTTAGGAAGACAACACACATGAAGGGGCCTGTGTGGCCGTTAACCACCCTTCAGCGGCGTGGCAAATCTGTTTTCAATTATCAAATCAGGACACAGTAATTTATGGCGCCCATGAAGCTGCTTTCCCGGTGAGAGGCTGGTTCAGCCAGCTTCTTTCTGCCTGTCCCTGTTTGCCTGTTGCTAGGGTGATGGCTGGCCTGGAGACAAGAGGAGGAGAGGCCATGAGGTCCTTTCTCTGCTGCTGAGGAAACAAAGAGCCACGTGGGACAAGATGCCACAATGTTCAGACTCCAACTGCTCTCAGCGACAGCTGAGATACTTAGGGAGGGCCCCCCACATCAACAGCATCAGCGACATCACCAAGGTGACATCTGCAAAGCTGATGGACTGTATATGTGATACATCAAAGACTGATCCCAAACAAAAGGAAATTCATATTTAATTGAGCAAAAATAATCCAAGGGAAAACAAAGAAGCCAAGAAGAAGAATAAAAAGTCTTTTAAAGGCTTCCCCAACTTACGTATTTAAATGGACCAGAAAATTAACCTGTTTCTATCTAGTCATAGGAGCCCAGAGGAGATCTCTTTAATGTCCCCCCAGTTTTGGTTCCATATGTGGTCAGTGCTCATGACTAATATTTTCATTATGCTCTAAAAGTATAGGTAGCAACACCGTGACTTGAGTGAGTACTTTCATTAACTCCAAATACCGATAAAACATTATTCTATTTTTGCAGATGATTAGAAAGCCTACAAAGACTATACTGGTCACTGGAAATAGTTGCTTATTGTTTCTGAACAACAACAATAACAATAATGAAGTGTATAATTCTTTCCAGCGGGCTCATAATCTGAGCATTTGGGGGGCTGTAAGGTGACTTAGAGACATGGAAAAGGCCACTCAGTTTAGCAAGAAGACTCTAACCTTTCATGAGACAATCACAAAGGATATTTACAAAAAGCTTAGTGTCTGTAGCAGACACTTTGGGAAAAAAATCTTTAAAGTGTCTGGGCAGGAATGTAGACCTAGATATTTTTGGGGTTTCCTGGATTAAAGTTCACATCTCCTGTTGCTAGAGTTACTATGGTCCTGCATTTTGCCTTGGGTAGTATTCTAATTGGAGGTTGGTTATAAATTAATTAAATGTATATACTACCTAAACAACTTTAAAAATACTAAGCCTTTGTTAAGGTGGAGGAGAGAGGCTTCAAGGATGAGAGGAACCCATTTGCCTGTTTTGTGGTGCTGAACATACGAATGTTCATCTTTGTTTCAGAGACCTCACTGTAGTAGAGATTTCCTTAGGCAATCTCCAGAATCTCTTCAACTGAAACTTTCAGGAAATACAAAATAACATCCTTACAGGGAAACAAACAACAAAACAAGCAGGACCTATACCAACTTTGGGTAAAGATTCTAGAAGATGCCTAGGCTTCCAATGGTCAAAGAAAGAAAACCAATTCTTAATTTTTTATACAACATTTTGTGAATCATGAACAAACTTAGCAAGTGCTTGTTTAATGAGCCAATAGCTGAATATACCTTTATATGACATCCCAGTGATGTATTTCATGACTTTTATCAGAGAGTCACCATAGGATTTAACCATGGAAAATTTAAGAACAGTAAGATCCAACCACTGTTGGTGTTGGAGGGGTGCTGGCGTTTTGTTTCTCTGGATAATGGGACAGAGAAAGGCTTCTTAAACTATGACATGTACAGGACTCCCTGGGATCTTGTTAAATTACAAGCTCTGATGCAGGAAGTCTGGTGTCAGGTTGGAAACCAGGCATGTTTAACAAGACCCAGGGTACCAAAGCTGTCAAGGCTACAATCAGAGCCCAAATCCCACAGTACCCCTCAAAGTGGAAAGCCGAAGGGACTCTCTCTTACCTGCGCCTACTGTTGACAGCGATGCAAACAGCCAGAATCAGAGCCAGTGCCAGGAGAGATGCCAGGATGATGAGCCATTCTGGAAAGAGTGAACCAAGGACATACATACATGAGCAACACAAACAGATTTGATGGAATAGAAAATACTGCTTAAAAATCGGTCTGCTCCAAATAAAAACCCCAGCCAACTCTGCAGAGAGGGCTGACCAACAGGTACAGCTAGAATATTCTAAGACAATCTTGACTGTAGATGTTCCATCCAACAGGCATCTTGTATTAATCTCTTATCAACAGTTAGTCAAATCCTGCTGGAAGAAAAATCTATCCAAAACCATCTCAAACAACCTGTTGAAGCCTGTACATGGTTTTTTTTTTTTTTGGTGAAATGTTAAATAGATCAAAAAACATTTATATTTCTCGTGACAGAAACATTCCATGCCGATGTAAGAACATCTGCCTTATGCTTCATGCAAAACGAAGATGGAGTTCATAACTGGTGGGCCACGGATGTTCTCGTGGTTTGGTAAAGGTGGATTCTATGGCTCCTTTCAGTTGTTCGGCTCCACTTGTTAACAGATCCCAAAATACTCAGACTTTCTGATTTAGAAGTTACACGTTCAGAAAGTTATACGATCTCAAAGTCAGCTGTAAAGATGTCCATCATTGTGCTCTTTATAACCATGAAAGTTGAAACTGACTCAACGTCCAATGATGAGGGATTAAATAAATAAATTAAGATACATCCATTTTGTTATGTGTTATAATTCAAGGGAAAGATATTTAATGACACGGAGAGTGGAACTGACCAGCAGAGAACGTTAACTAAACAGCACATACAGCAGTTTTGAAATCAATTACTCTGAAAAAAAAATATTAAGGATAATATCTGTTAAGAATGCAGCTTAAATACTTCTGGGTAATGAGGAAGATAGTAAGGGATTTGCATTTCCACCCATTTGCTAAGTTGCATTTTCTAAAGTTTATTTGATAATTATGTACTGCTTGTGGATTAATGAAATATTGTCCACATGTTTTAAACTCGGGCTTCCGTAAGACTGAGAAGCTGACCCTATTCAGTTGCAGGTGTGTGCAGTAAACGAAGGCTTGACAAAGAAGAAAGAGGAGGTTGGCAGTCATGCCTGCTTCTCCTTGGAAGTCCTACTTTCCCCCTATGTTAGACTGTGCGTCCTCTTTGGCTCACCTCAAGAGAGCAGGGACACTGTAGGGACGAAGCCATTTCTGTTCTTCCCCACCCTGCCTGCCTTTCAGCCCTGAGTGTTCCACACTCCTCCTCACTACAGTGGGATGAATCCCTGCTTGAATTCAGCCTGCCTATTCCCTGCCTGCTCCTCCTCAGGTGGTCAGCAAGCTGAGACAAAGGAGGAGGGCCACAGGGAGAGCCACTTTGGAGCTCCCTGGAGGAAGAGTTGAAAGGGTAATTTACCACAGAAAGAGAAACTTCCGGTGTGGAATCCCCCTTTGCATATGCTCAGTTTCAACCCCGTGCTAAAAGAAGAAATTGCATCAAAGGCTAAATCTTGTAGCATGGGACAGTCAGATGTCACAGCTTCCCTCCGTGTCCAAGTCGTACTTTCTAAAAAGTTCCTTCCGGCTGAACTAACAGGCTGTTCCTCAAGGAAAAGTAGGTTGGGGAGCAGAAGAGTGTTTCTACTCAATCCAACACGGATGGTCCCGTGTCTCCTTCCTGCCCACCAATGAAAAGAGAATTACATGTTTCATCTCTAGTCCTAGAAATATAGGGGAAGATGGGTTGAGACAGGAAGGACCTGGGTTTGCCCTGGGGTCTTCTTGCTCATGTGGGAAGGAGGCCTCAGGACAAACCAGTTCTTTGTGGCAGACCTCCATGTGAGCTCATTCAGGACATGAGGGACCTAGAGGGGGAAAGAGAGGGCTCCCTCCTGTCCCACGAGGGGCTATCATATTTTTGTTTATCCTTAAACTTGCAGAGAGGTGCCAGATGTGCATTTGATGAGGTCTTTCCTAGGACTTTGTGAGAACCTTGCTCTAATTATCTTACTTTTGCTTCACGGCGTGAAACTCACCTGGAATCTGAGGTCTCCTCCCAGGAAGAGGAGTCGTGTTCGCGCCACCGTCTTGACTCCCACTTGAGTGTCCTAAGGGGGAAAACAACGAGCTTTTTCAGCCCCAGTTTGGAATGTATAGCCAGGAGTTTCTTCAGAGCATTGTCCTGGGCTACCCTCCAACCACTGCCTCACTAGACTCTAGAAATAGATTCAAGACGCAGACGTTTACAAAGTGTTAGGCAAAGGTATCATCTCACTCTCCGCCTCCCAAGAAAGTTCGCTGTGACCAAGCTAAGGCTTCCAAATGGGATTTTTGTTGCAGGGATCAGCGACGGACAGTGTTTGAACTTGAGCTCAGTGCTAGTCCATCCTGGGTTTAGAACCTAACTTATTAGCAACATGGGCCAGGACAAGTTATCACCTCGGAGCCTCTGTTTTCTGGCTTATAAAATGAGCATCATAGCAGGAACACCTTCATTGTTGTCTTACAGAGACTTAAAGAAGTAGATGATAGTAGAAGCTGTGTGAAGTTACAACATTCTCTGTTTAAGACCTTGCCTATGGACCCGTAGGCCAGCAGGATCCCATCACTAGGGAGCGGGCTACCAATATGAAATCTCAAGCTTAACTCCAAACCTTCAGAAACAGCGTCTTCGTTTAAATAATATCCGTAATGTATTCATCTACTTCTGAAAGTCCAAAGTGAACCTAAAAATCACTGGCATTATGCTGCTTAGTTTCTTGTCAACTTGATACAAGCAAGCCAGGGTCACCTGTGATGAAGGGACTTTGATTGAGAAGATGTCTCCATCACATTAGCTTGTAGGCAAGTCTATGGGGGAGTTTTCTTGATTCATGGTTGTTATGGAAGGGACCAGCCCACCAGGGGGAGTTTTCTTGATTAATGATTGTTATGGGAGGGACCAGCCCACCAGGCAGTGCCACTCTGGGACAGATGGTCCTGGGTGGTATGAGGATTCAGGTTGAGCAATCCACGGAGAGCAAGCCCACAAACAGCATTACGCCATGGCCTCTGCTTCAGTCTCTGACTCCTGGTTTCTGCCCTGAGTTTCTTCAGTAGACCGTGACTCAGGACATAAAAGCCAAGTAACCCTTCCTCCCCAAGGAAAGGTTTGGTTGTGATCTTTATCCCAGCAACAGAAAACAATGTAGGACTCATAGGCACGAATATGAACACTATTTTTTTTCTTTTGGCCGGAGGGGTGAGCACTGGCTTTTTCTGACTATAAATGAACGGTTAAGAGAGTCTATGCTAAAACAGCAAAACATAATAGAAAAATAAATGCTTTCTACCACTAAAAGACAAAGGGAATGAACAGAAAACCGGCTTGGAAGGAAGCACGGTGAGACAGACAGCCTATGAGTCAGAATCCAGATGCCTTTTCAAAACGAGAAAGACAACACATTTCAAAAGAAACTTCTTGGCGTTTTGTCTTCTTTCTTCCTTTCCTCTTTGCCACTAAACAGCAGCCTGTTCTGGGATCTTGAAGGCCACCAAAGGGAACAAAACCTAGGCAAGACATTGTTGGCTAGCTCATGGTCTACGAAGATGGGGCTCAAAAGAAAATATTTTCTGAGAGAGCCAAACTTTAGGCTCTGCAGAGTGAGCGCTGGCGTCTAACCACCTAGGGTGGCTTCAGTGTGGACAGTCTGGTGCTTTGCTAAGGCTCCCACAAAACAGAGCAAGGACACTTCTGTTCTGTTTCCACAGTGCACACACTGTTCTGAGAGTGGCCCCTCTTCTCAGATCTCAAAGGAGTCCATGGTAGGTTTTCTACCCACCTGCTGGTGTCCTGGGCAATTGGCAGGTTTGTGCGTGCACATGGCATGTACACACACATGTGCTGCACAGCAACCACCCCAGCCAGAGCTCTGTGGCCTTGGAAACCTCTGTGAAGGGGTAGCCACTCCCACCGGTCTCCTTTGTCTGACTCATGGCAGCCTTTGATATTTGAAAGGGAGGCCATTAATAGATCATAATCTATTTTCCTTTTCCAAAGAAGTGCTCCCAGCAAGGAAAGATCTAGGTGTGTGCACAAGATGAAACCTCCCGTTTGAACAATAGACACCTGCATAGGAGCCAAAGGAAAAAGACCAGTTCCCACCCACCTGATTCTCACTTCAAGCAAAAGCCCGAAAGGATGGGCCAGAGACAGCAGGCTTCCCTTGTGCCTCCATAAATCCAATCCCGGTGGAACAGGCCTGGAGAACAAGTTCTGCAAAGCAGGACACTGGGCACACCAGTTTGGAGATGGGGCCCAGCCACAGAAATGGGCACAGAGATCATTCTGTTGGCTTTAATGGCAGCGAGAAAGGCAGTGGAGAGTGGAGCACACAAACCAGCTGAAGGGGAAGGGGCTTAAATAAACGCAGACCCTGATCCGGTTTGTATCTGCACAGGGCACGATTAGGCCCTTTCCACAAGCTTCTGTGCACAGTCTCTGTGGCTGGTCCGCAGACTACACTCACAGTAGTAGGGTCTCTTGGTTTGGGGAACCACACCTTCAAATAATAACCTCTTATGTTCTCAATACCTTGTGATCCACACCAAGCCTAGATTGCTGAGGTAGGTGACACGATCTCTCTTCCTACCGACAAGGAAACAGAAGTTGGGGATGACCAAGTATGCTAAGCACCCCAGCGAGCTCGAAACATCTGTCTCTACTTCAGGGTAATTATTAATGAGCCCTAAATGCCAGAGCTCCGACATTTAAGGGCTGTTATCAAAGTCATCGTGTAAATATCCATCCTCAGATTTGCTTGAACCCCGGAGGCAGCGCTTGTCCCCAATTCAAGCCCACGGCAGAGGATGCTCATTTATGTGGATTTCCTGGTTCCTGTGGACCACATAGATTCGTGATGATCAGGAACCCATGATAGGAAGTGCTGAGAGAACCTCTCTGTAACCCCAGCATTAGAGATTAGAAGTAAGCTTGCCTCGTGTCAGATTTTGCTGCCTGGAGCAATGATTTCAGGGGTTGATCTGAGTCATGGCCAACAGCAATCTATTTAATAATGCATTTCTGGCAGTAATTATGGTCATTATGGAATTTTCTTCCAGACCAGACTTAGGAGCGGCAATATGAGACCCCAGGCCTGAAACCTGGCTCCACCACTCTCTGGTCATATGAACGTGGCAAGTTGCTTGCCTTCTCTTACCTTCCCTTCTTCTCCTCATCTGTAATAAGGAGATGATAATAGTGTTTTCTTGTATTGTAGTAGGGTTTGCAAGGTGATTAGATGAGTTAATAGAAAGTGAACTCTAAACTCCCTAGCATTGGGCATGTGCACCCTACTGAAATATCAGTTTGATGTAGTTCAATGTACAAATGAGACGTTTTGGTTAGTCTTTCTGGTACACAGTAAATCCTCAAATGCTGGCTTCTTTACGAGTTGCCAGGAATATGCTAAACACTTTCCAGGTATTCATTCTGTCATGTGGCCTTTAAAGGGTACCCCGTGACAATATCTCAAGATTTTCAGCAAAGACATTGGCTCTCAGACCCTGTGATCATCCTGCTCAATTTCTAGGTAGAGGAATGAGAATCAAACACGAGCTCTTTTATGCTGAAGGAGTTCTCCTAGGGGCTCTCGAATGGGGGCAGTGTTAGATGGGGGTGTCCTAGTTAGGGTGACTATTTCTGTGATGAAAACCAAGCTGGGGATGAAAGGGTTTATTCGGCTTACATATCACAGCCCATCGAGGGAAGCCAAGGCTAGAACTCCAACCTGGCTGGAGGCAGGAGCTGATGCAGAGGCCGTGGAGGAAAGTTCTGCTTGCTGGCTTTTTTTTCTGCTGCTGGCTCAGTATGTTTTCTTATAGAACCCAGGACCACCAGCCCAGCAGTAGTTCCAGCCCCAGCGTGGGGCCCCTCCCACATCAATCACTAAGAAAATGGTCCTCAGGCTTGCTTGCAGCCAGATCTCACTGAAGCATCTTCCCAGTTGAGGCTCCCTCCTCTCCGAAGGCTCTAGCTTATGGCAAGTTGAGACAACACTAGACAGCACGGAAGAACTGCATGAAGTCTTCCAGGCTTTTTCAGATGGAAGCTCCTTTTCTAGAGTGCTGGTTCTCACAGTGTGGTACCCATCCCGGCAGTCTCGGGGTGACTGGGAATTTACTAAGCATACAAATGCTTGGGTCCCACCCCAGACTACTAAATCAGAAACTTCAGGGTGGGGTCCAGCAGAGTGACTTAATAAAGCCCTCCCTGTGGCTGAAAAATCCATGTGTTTTCTTTTTTTAAGTGTGAGACAGTTCTCTAGGGACACTGACTCATGCTTCATTAGCAAGCATCAGGTTGGGAGATTATAATAGCAAGTGACTAAACATTTCAAACTCACCAGCTGATCCGGATCCATATGTCACAGTGTCGGAACCATGCCTGGGGTCCATGGATGTGTCTCGGCCTTCTAGAATAATAGGCAAAAAGAAAAAAAAATCAGCACTGTGTGTCCCCACACACTGTGATCTTCACTTCCATAGGGTGTGTCTTCAGGAATCCGGCATCTGCTAACAACCAAGAAGTCACCGCTCATCTTTAAAACGCTGAGGAGTGGGCTAGAGCCTTCATCAAAATGAAGGAAACTGAGGCAGCGCAGGCCGTTTTGGATGACCACTAAAATAATGGTGTGGGTAGAAATCCAATAGCAGAGCTAAAGAATATTCTAGGAAAAGACTATGATGCTTTCGTGGGGCTGGGATTTGAGCAGGACACTTCTTAGCTTGGACAAGAGTTTCGATACTGAAATATGATCACGTAAATGGGTGTACTCGAGCTCAGCATACGCAGCATGAAAGAGGTGTCTCTGAGTCTGAGGCAAATGACTCTTAGGCATGAATGTGGGAAAAATAAACTATCCAGAGAGGAGAAAGGCCAGACTTAAGAGAAAAAAGAAGCAGCGAAATAACGAGAATGACATAGCGCTGGGGATCAGAATCAATACCGCTGATAGTGTTTTCAAAAGTTACACCTATAATTTCAACAATTGTTGGCATGATCCCATCTTCTCAAATATCCATCACCAGAGAACTTTCGGTTGAGACAAACTCAAGAGGGGGTAAATTTAAATCCAAAGATCAAATCTTAGGTTCAGTATATGGGAAACATACACAGAGAACAAGGGCTCCTCATGTTGGTATAGATGATTACAAAAGTGCCTAGGGAGAGAATACAGTGAGCTGCTCGCCACCATTCCCCATTAGGAGAGGGTTGCTGGGAACTGCTCCTGTTATGATAACAGACAACAGCATTTGCCGAAGCACCACACTGAGAGTCCCACCACCAAAATCACCATTTCCAAACCATCACCATCAGCAGGCCCATCAGCACCACCGCCATCGCATAGGTCAGTGCTATAGGCGCATAGATTGAGAAACATGTATAGACAGAAACACACTTTGTGAATCCTCTAGAAGAAAATGGGGAGTGAGGATCAGGCTCTTTATGAATCGAATCGCTGGATTCACAGAGAACGGAAGGAAATACAGACACCACCACCTTTCTTATGTTGATCAGATGGGATCAGCGCGCGTGCGTAGTAATTCTGTAGAAGGTATTTTATTTGCTGGCAATTAGACTCTGCAAACGACCTAAGGAACTATAACTAAGATTGCCATTTAAAATTTAAATCCTTTAAGTTGCTCGATGGATGGGACCATTTTAGCATGAGAACAGGGTGGTCTTCCTAAATTTGATTCATTCTGCAGGAATCTAACAATAGCACTTGGAGGTTTTAATGAAGAAAAGAAGGTTACTAATAAGGACACTAAGCCAAAGCCTTCAGAGTGGAAGGGGGCTTGGGTTTGCCAACTGCTGAGGTTGATATTTTTAAAGCTCTTTTTCTTGAAGCCCTGGAGAAGGATGCCAAAGGAAATATGCCACACATATGCCATCCCCGTTTTTTCCCCCTCTGTCAATCAGAACCTCACCACTACCATCTGTTTTGCATATGTGATTCTTGTGAGATCAGTTTCTTGTCTTTTGGGAGAGTGAAGGAGGTAGGGGCTTTCTACAAATTATGTGTGTGTGTGTGTTTATTTAAGGTTGTTAATCTTTAATGTGTTAGTGATTGAGTGGTAAGAGGTACCTGGATTATAGGCACTAATAGAATTGGGATTCTAGTTTCTTAGCCACAGAAAGCACTTCCCCTTTGTACACCATTAGTTTATTAATACAAATAAAGAAATAAAGAAGAGAAGAAGAGAGGATTGCTTATTTGAGAGAAAGGTCTCATTCTGGGTCCATGTCAGACTTAGTTGAGTAAGTCATATGTTTACAATTACAAAAAAAAGTGAGGATCCCAGTTTATTAACTGTGAATCATGAACTTTGAAGCACACCATAAGTATAAAAGGCTTACATACCAACCCATCACCAAAAAATGAAATGAAATGAATCAGTCCACCACCTATGAAAGATAATGTCAGAGGAAAGATACCAGTATATGAAAATCATTTGAATGTTTGGTATAGCTTTGCTAAATAGGCAAAATATATTAGCTGAATCATATGAAATTGCTAATAGTCAACTATTTTGATCGACGAAGATATCAGTTTCACATGACCCAAGTTAATATATCACAGAATGAAGAAAAGACAAAGTGAGAAAACCTACCATGAGAACCAAGTCACAAAAACTAAATGGAGATTACACCAGGAAACGGGAGCCTTGATTTATCTCAAATAAACCCAAGTTTGCTGGCATTAGAATTGATGGCCAATGATGAAAACCATTCCCATGGCACAGAGTAATCTAATCGCAGCCTGCACAGAATATATCCCCAATAATAGGAAAAGATATGTTGCTTCTCCAGAGAAGCAAACCGGATGACAAATGGCCAAATTACCTGGTAAGGAGCCATCAACATTAAAGTCGAAGTCTGCAGCAACAGTCACTTCGGTTTCTTCAAAGACCCCAGTCTTAGCAGGGGCCACTGGGGTGAGAGTCCCATTTTCCATTGCGTCTGGATAATGAGAGGTGTAGCCTTCCAGAGAAGTAGTTGTGTCTTTGGGAAGGCTTGGGCCTCTTCTTCCGTCTCTACCACCACTCCTAGCTGTGTGGTGGAGGTGGAGTCAATGACAAGCCCACACCTGGATGGTCACCACCCACCATGTGCTTGCCTTCAGAAGGGAAAGTTGCCGACACATCTTTCTACTTGTCCTCCAAGACCAAAAGCAAACGGTACTGAACACAACCAATATTTGACAAAAGACTGCAGCCGGATAGCACGCAACAGAAGAGGTTTTGGTGACTACTACTCAGAAGACGTAGTTGTTACGAGATTTGTCTGAATCATCAAGGGGAGGTAACTCAGGTACTACAGGATTTTGAGCTTTTTTTTTCTCAATTTGATCCACCTCTGAGGATGAAGAGGAAACAAACTATCGGAGGGAAAGATGAAACCATTCTGTCTGCAACTGGAATAAGAAGCTCAAGATCCCAAAGACCTGAGTCTACTGACATGATTTGTTTTTTGTGCCAGAAGGCATTGCTTTTGAGTCACCAATACCATGGGTTGTGGTCCAGCAGACAAAACGGAGATAGTATTACTATAATGGAGTTCAAGGAAATCTTATACAAATAATCATCACTTTTTAAAACCAATTCAGCAGAAAAGTTTGTATCTAATATACAATGGCTTCTAAAAGGTCTACAAGCAGAAGAACCAGAGGCCACCACCAGACACACCTTTTATTAAAATTAAAATGTAAAAGTGAGCAATGGATGCACCACCACCGAAGATCCCACAAAGTACCCAGAGCTTATTGATTTCTGCTAAACAGCCGAGCCCACTGGGGTTTTTGATCCTTACTGCTAGATGGCAGAATAGAAGTTGTTGGATGGTCTTGGTCTTCTTCCAGTTCTTCATGTGATGTAGAGACTTTCTGAGAATGACTCTGTGCTGTTTCAATGAGGGGTGAAGCTAGTGTTAATTAGGAACCATACTATAAGGATGTTATCCACCAACAAGGATGATCTAGCTATAGGATATTAGATGGACAGACACAATGGGAAAATTATATTTGTGCCCGTCATCATCTGCTGATTGATAAAAACAAACATAAAAAAACATACTTTGTCCCTAGTTAGCTTCTTTGTCTCTCAGTGAAGTTCCAGAGTGAAGCCCAAGCCAACACTTTGCCCTCCCTGGACCACCTTGCCCCAACTGCAGCAAAGACCCCAGGGAAACAAAAATCATAGAGACACAGAAAGGGGAGTGGTAATTTCAGTTTTCCCTCAACCACCAAGGTTGGCAAGTTGCGGACAAAAAGTTATAAAGAAAGCAGTGCTGTGCAGTGTGTCTGTGAACACAAAAGAAGAAGCCCGTCTCCATCATTTAACTCAGAGCAACTTTACAAGAAAGTACATGACTCCCTTGTAGAGAAGCTTGCATTTTAGTGACTACTTTATTTGCAGGGCTGTGATCTTGCTTGTAACAGGGTTTCTCTTCACTGCACCAGAGATGCTTGCCTGGCAAACTCAGGGTCCTCAGTGACACATATCAATTTGAGACTGAATCATGGCCCATATCTGAAATCACTTTGACAGTTTTGAGTTCTTTTCTTTTATATTCTTCTAAGAAAGGCACTGACTGACCTCTGAGGTGCATGTGCAAAGGCTCCATAAAACACACCCATCAGCCATGTCAACCACCAAAGAAATATAACCAGGAGAGAGACATTCAAAATCCCAAACCCAACACCAGAACAAAAGCCAACAGTAACACAAATGGAAATACAAGTTGAGCATTGGCAAGGGCCATTGATAGGCTTGTTTATGTCTCCTTTGATGCCTAACGCTGCTGTTTACATTGGTGGCAGTCAATACATGCCTGCTGGCTTTTTTCCCCAAGCCTAAAGGGCTCCTATCAAGGGCTCTGCCCATGATGTGTAGCAAGCAGTGAAACAAGGCCTTCTTAGTTTGGGGAGTTCTTTGATAATCTGCTAAGAATTCATGAATGACTTTGGATTGATCCTTGGTCTATCCTTATACACGTGGTGAAAATTAAGGGTACTAAAAATTTCATATTTCTTCCTGGCAGATGTTTAATGATAGAAAATATGTTGACAAATGGTTCTTTTCCATTCCCAGGGCTCCACTACCTTGGTCAATTATTATCAACATTCCTTACTCTTCCTCTCAAAGCTAAATGTGATTTCTCTAGTCACTGTGATAACCTGGTCCTCATGTTACACACTCATGGAAGCAATCTTTCTCCTTCCTTGACTGGTTAAAGAATGAAATTGAAAAAGTCTATTAAAACATAGATAAACCACCCTACTAGTGATGGTGTCTTTCATATGGAGGGTTGGAGAAGAAAAATGAAGATGAATTAAACCTCCATATCCTTTCATTAATAAAAAGTCATAGACTCAGGAGGGGACGGTGAATGAAGATAAAGTCAGGTTTAAAGAACCCTCACAAGAAAGACAGACAATGAAAACAGATTCACCCCTGGTTGAGCTGAATCACCTAGCAAAGACTGCACCGTTCCACCACCCAATTTGACATTTTGACCAATGTCAGCAGATGTGAAGTGGGAAGACAGGCCAACAAAGGGGCTGAGTGACATTATCCTTACGAGTAGTCACTGAAAGTGGTCCTGTCCTGTTCAAGTCTTCCACCACATGAGTAGTTGGAGTTCCAGCAGGCTGAAGGGTTGTACTATGGCTGGAGTCTGTATCTGAAGGAATTAAAGTAGTGTTATTGCCTTATTCCCTATGCCATTGCCTGAGGGCCCTTTGTCTTAGAGCTAAGGAATTATTACATTCAGCCTGGTAAGGGGAAAGAAACAAGTTTCCGTGTCCAGAACTGGGAAAAATGATTGTTTCGTCAAGAATACCACAGGCTATAAGCGGTTTTCGCTGCAGGGCAGAGCTAGACAAAAGCTATCACGTATATGTTTGCTTGTTTTGCTTAGTCTGGAAGGAAGTTACATGAGCTCACAATGAGGCTCACAGTCTGTGCAAAGGAAGAGAAATGTAACCCGTGTAGGAATTGCTCAATTCCAAGGCCGACAGGTACAGTTAGACACATGGAGTGAAACAGCACAGACAAGCATCACTTTGTCACCTCCGGCTGTCACCAGGCCAAACAAAACAAAACAACACCTACAAAAACCTTGTAAACAGCCATTGAATTCCCTTATTTGGTTATTTTTGTTCTTTTGTTTTTGCTTCAGAAAGTAAACATAGGAAAAAACAAAACCATATACACATTACTCAATATAACTACGTTGAGACAACTACGTACCTATAGACAAACAAGACTCATTCTCCCCATAAATACAAGAAATAAGTATCTTGGGAATTATGATTATAGTGTTGAGTGGTGCGAAATATCCCTGAAGTAATTAAAAAGGCTGCTTTTTGTGATGGTTATCACTGATCTTTGGTGGGCTGGAATAACAAGTTCAGAGCGAAACAGAGGCCCAACAGCCCATAAACACCGTCAATGCTACTAACTCTACAATTTTCTCAGTCCACCCACACCACTGCCTCTGGGGAGATCTAATCAATTCCAAGTGGCTCCAGTGGGAAGTACTGGGATATGGGGCACACGCCTTGGGACTCCAGCCTTTGCATGCTAAAAGCAAAGACAGACAAGACCCCCGTTAGAGAAAAATGCATGGCTGATTCTACTATCAGGATTTCAAAGAAGAAACGGCAGCGACACTTCATTCAAAATTTCAAATTGTATACCATGCCAGAAAAAGGCCTTGTCTGCTGAGGGCCTGCAGCCACTCTTGCTCACTTTTCCTTTTGTAAATATAATTCTTGGAACACTATTATGTCATTGTATGATGGAAGCTAACTATCGTGTGTGTGTGTGTGTGTGTGTAAACAGTAAAGACATTGCCGGCATGACCACTCCATGCTATGGTTAAAGTTTGCATTGTAGATATGAGAGAGAGAAGAGCCAGAGACATCGGGAAGAGTCTGGAGAAAAGAGAGAAAAACAGAAAAAAACAGTAGATTAGCCATGGCCAGCAGCCTGGACATGGCAAGGGCTAGGAGAGAGGGAGACCAAGAGAAAATAGCAGACATAACATGATGGCGAGAGACCAGAACAGAGTGAGAGTGAGAACGCAGATAATCTGAGGAAGGAGAGTAGCTGTGCAGAGGGAAGAGCCAGAAGACAGGCATGGGGGTGGGGCTCAAAATATTGTAACAAGCATTTGTGAGCTGTGATTGAGGGATCTTGGAGGCCAACATGGACTTTGATATGCAGTCACAGGTACATGTCAATGGGGATTCATGTGTCCTCTCTGCCAGAGGTGAGGGAAATGACTCCTTTTGGCAGATGGGAACTGGTTCCACAAGCTCCAGAGGGATGCAGGCCCTTATCTAACCACCAGAATTCCTCCTATAGTCCAGCTGGAGATCCTTTCCGGATATGCGAACTGCCTGTGAGACCTAACACCTTTTTCTTGAATATATAGAATGTAATCTTTCTTTCTTCTTCAGGCTGGACACCTAATACTATTTGTGGAATTCTTTTACTGGGTTTATTTATTTGTTTATTTCTTACCACAGGTCTCTTCAGAGTCCCACCCCCAGGAACTAAGTACATCAAACTGTGTGCTGGGTCTTGCCTGTGGCACCTCTGTAACTCAACAAAATGGCCCCAGCCTAGCATTTTAAACACTCCCTCTCTCAGGACACATGTATCCACTCATAGCGATGTGCGCATCCCTTGGCTTTTCTTCCTTTATGGATCTGTTCACACGCGTCTCCTGTTCAAAAACTCCTCCATCTCACTTCTCTTTTCTGTCTAGCCAGGTCTTTGCATTTTTATTTTGAAAAATTGCTTTCGGTTCTTTGTTCTTCAGTGGTCTGTGGGAGGTGTGGGGACCTCTGGATTTCTTTAGTGTCCAATATTGAAAATGTGAGTTTTTGTGTTGTCAGATTTATTGTGCTCTTAAGTATTTTCTTTTGTCTGCTGACTTTGAAGTTTCTTTCAATCATGAATATGAATAATGCATCCTTCTGTCTGCAGGATGTTTTACATGTCTAGTGCATACCATATACATGGTTGTTTATTGGGTATCTGTTCACTAATATTAAGATAAGACGGAAATTTTTTAAAAATGGCAACTATAGAAGTTTTTGGATTGGAGATAATTTTATAGTTATCCAATATGGAGATATATTTACAGCGCTATTAGAATGTATTTCAGTCAGATGTGTGGAGCCTATCTATGGCTGACAATTTATATCCAGAAAATACATATAAATGTTCTCTGGAAAAATTTACAAAACCCTGTATTTGGTTATTTTGGAATGTTACATTTTTTGTGGTAAGAATATTTTGTTTTTTGAAAAAAGTAATTCTACTCATGAATGTAGTGGAAATACAGTCTTCTATTTGTTAAATCTTTAGAGGACAGAAGCTATTAATTCTTGGTGCTTCTGTCAAGCAGGTTGCTGCTGTCACAATAAAGGAAAATTGCTTTTAAATATAAAAAGTAGTCAAATAATTTACTGCCTTCCTTTCTTGCAAAACTACAACTAATGTCTTTGCTTTCTTTTTTCAAATGGCTGTGTGTAAATAAGAATGGAAGGCATTAGGAAAACTAGAGTTTTGTCTCATGTACAAACTGTCTGTCCATTAAGTTCATAGCCATTCAAGGAGGGCCAAGAATGATCTAAATCCTAAATCCTTCAAAACCACATTATCTCTGAACGAGGCAATAATAAATAACTTTGAAGTCTGAGTCATTATACAGTTTATTTGCTTTAACTACTAACCAATCTTCTTCACCACTTAGATTTGTCTACCAAATCCCAAATTTATCTTTGAATCTATCATGGACATACTCATTGCATCTATTTTTTATTGTTTCTTTTGAACTCTTGTACATAAAGAAGAAAGGAATTTTAAGAATATCTCTTCTTTATCTGGGCATGATAGTACATTCAATCCCAGCACTCAGGAGACTGAGGCAGGAGGATCATCAAAAATTGATGATCCATCTTGGGTCATGTAGTAAGACCATCTTAAAGTAAGAAACAGCCTACCTCTCCCTCCGGATAAATAGCTTCCAATCTAATCAGCTTAAGACTGACTTACTTAATCTTCCTGCCAGATTCTTCACTCTCTGCTAGAACTTTATATGTCAATGAATGTGCATGCCCACTTCTTACCAACTTGTATCCGCAAACTCATTTTTGAAGGCACACGAGGATGCTTAAGAAAGCAGACTAAACTAAAACCAATGCTACATTTCCAAGAGAAAAGGGACTTAGTTGATTCTAAGAAATATAATATATTAAAAAGTCTCAGATGCTGTTTACCCTTCCTTTCTGTTTGATGATCTTGTCCCATTGGATGTGAGATTGGGTCCAACAACTCAGTCCAGGAGACGTCCTCTTGACTCTGTGTCGTCATTCTTTGACTTGGATGGTTGTTGTCGTCTGAGGCTGTTGTGATCATGCAGTTCAAACAATTGTCAACATATTACTGACATTTGGGCAGGGATATAGACTTTATTCTCTAGAGAAGATAATGAAAATAACTTTCTAGTACTGAGGACAAAGCGATGCATTCGTTTAGAATGTTCCCCCAGGCTTTGGTTCATTGGTGCTCATTTTCTTGGTCACCAGCACAGAAGCTGGAGGAAGCATAGCATTAACAAGTACTGCAATGGATAGAGGATGAGTTATAGTCCCCTACAGAGAGAGGCAGAAGAGCTCAAGTGCATGACGTGACTCCAAGAGAAGCACATCCCAGAGTGAAATGCAAAATGAGCTGGTGGTGATATACAGACGACATCGGGTAAAGGCTTCCCAAGTGAAGAGCAAGAAAGAGCTACTTATCACAGAAGCACAGATGGAGTCCAGCAGAAGCATTACTTTTGCACAGTGAGCAATAGCATGCGGGCATGTGGTTTATGCCTTTGTCTCATTCTGTGCCGGTGGAGAAGTACCGGAGGAGAGATTGCAATAGCATCCCCTAGAAACAAACACACCAAAGAGCTAGTCACCAAACCCGCTGCTCCACTAGTGATTCATTTCCAAGTCGCCATGCACTGCAGAGAGGGTCTGAATCAGGTTCTGTATTGCAGATGGAAACACAGAGATATTTCCCACTGATAGCAAGTGATAATGTGGAACTCACACCCTTGGCAGGGCAGGGTGAATCACAATGCCTAATCACTCAGACAAAGGAGTCAAGCACAGCATCTTGCAGAGACACTTTATCACTAGATGATAAGGTCTAATTCTAATTCCCACAACCCCACATTTCCGGAATGGAGGAGATGACTTATTTGTGAATGTAATTAAACAGTTGTACATTCGAGGAGATATTCAAAAGAGGTAAGAACAAAAGATCAGACGACATCACCCAGGTATCTTTTCTTTTCTTGTAATGAGAGGATTTACCCCCAAACTAGATTTCAAATAAAATTCTTTCTCATAAGCCTAGTGTTTCACATAAATATAAGGAAAACAGCCAGGCTCATATTGTACAGTAAATGATCTTTAGAAAGCAGAAAGGGGGCTTTCATTTGATAAGGCCTCTGTCATTGTCTCACGAGGTGAGACAATGCCTCTAACTAGATATGAACATCACAAACTTATAGGCTAACTCTATTGCTTTCATGTGCTTCTACCTGTGCCCAGCCAGGTACCTTGCTTGGAGCATTTACAATCTGGATCTATGTTTACTTCTATATGATGTATTAGGAAACTGAATCTCAGGGTCTTTTTTGTGTTGGGTTTTCAATGCCCAGCACTGAACTCAGAAAGTAGCTTCTGCCCACATGGTGAAACCCTCCTTTACCAGTTGCCCCTGTTGTCACATGGGAGTCTTCCGTTGTTGTCGGGGAGTACTTCCCCAGCCATTCACTCTCAAACCATGGGTCCTGCTGGGTAGCTGCTTCTTCTGCTGTACTACTAGGAGCTGCCCAGGCTGTGAGGAGAATGCTGATGGTGAGCCACATTGTCCAGGTTCTTAACAAACCCTCTGATATATCTTTCTACATAAAGGCAGAGATAGATACGTATGTAGGTAGATACTTACATACATGCTACATACATACTCATATGATAGATATATACCATAGACATACATAGACACATAGATAATACATAGATAAATACATAGATACATAAATTATAGACAGATACATACATACAATATACATGAATACATACATACACACATACATTCATGATAGATAGATAGATAGATAGATAGATAGATAGATAGATAGATAGATAATAGATAGATACATTAACAGCTAGGGGTTAAGTCATTTAAATTCTGAAATATAGAAACAAAACTTTTAATTTTCCAATCCTTTGATTTTCCAGATGGGAAAACAAATTTTATTTGCTGAAAAATGTGTACACAGAGTAGCGCAAATCAATGACTAGACCCTAATCTGAGGATTGTGAATTCTAAGTATTATTCTAAGTATTATGTCTATAGCCTCACGTATTCTGCCAGAAAGAGCTTCTGTTGGAAGCATAATGTCCGTGTTCCAGTGATTTTGCAGCGGGAACTGTGGTCTATGGCAACTCACAACACTGGACCTTTGCAGACAGACTCCACAACTTATAACCACACTCAGTAGAATCAGGCCGGCATGCAAACCCAGGCCGGGATGTCTGGGTTGTTGCTACATTGATCTGCAATGTGATTGTCTGGGGACATTTTAAATTGCTAAAGCCTCTTCTTAACAAAGCTAATTCAGTGGAAGAAAAAACTATTCTAGCCAGTTGGGGAATTATATAAATAAAAACAGTATCAGACAGGCTTAACCTTTCAAGCACTGTTTTAAAAAGGCAAGTGGACTGGGACAAAATCCCATCAGGATACTTCCTGTAAAAGTCAGAAAGCCACTGACATTTTCATCTGTAACAGCTCATAGCAAATTTCTGATTCATCAGGAAAATTAGAGCCTAGAAACTGCCAAATCAAAAGAACTTTTGTGCCTTAAAAATTCACTGTGTCTCATTATCTTAGAAAATGATGTGTGTGATTTTGTGATAGCAAATATATTTTAAGTGGAACTCATGCTAAGTTTGTCTTTGCATTTTGCAAACTATTCCTGGGATTAACTGATTATCCAAAGGGAGGGAAGCCCTAATCTTAAATTATTTTCCATTAGTTAAGCCACTATCTCTCAACAAATAACAAAGGTAGAAAATTTCTGTTGTAATTATTTTAAAAAGTAAAAATTAAAGCTATACAGCTAAGATACCCAAAGTTTAAAGAATAAAGAAGTACACATGTGTGCTCACAAGCATACACCCTATGTATGTCTCCACCCAACATTTATTGTATAAGTATAATGATCCTTCAACTGTCCAACCATGCCCTGGTGTTTTTAGTATGGTCAGAAGTGGGTTAGGAAGACAGAACTTTCCCTGTAAATCATAAGGGCTGACTCTTTTCTAGAAGTTGTAATGTCCCCTTAACGAAGTCCAGAGGTTACTAATGTGGATTTTGCAAGCATTGGTGGTAACTTTTCTTCATTAACTGTATTTAGATTTCTAAGTATCTACTAGTAAGGATGTCCCATGTTTGTCATATTTTGGCATTACATGCACTTATTTGAAGTGTCTTAAGTAGCATTCTGCTTAAGTGTAAACTGTTTTACAGTAATTGATAAGATAGTTGTTAGGACCACGGTGGGAAGGGGGACTGAAATGGGTCCTGTTTCCTGTCTATTCTTTCCTTTAACAGTCTTCTTCTCAGCTCAGCCCTTAATCTTTATGCATACATCAAATCAACTATGGTAAAGAATAGAATGCAATGCCTGCCAGACATTCAGTACAATGCCCAGAACATATGAATCCAGGTTTCAAACTTTTCCTTGATTAAACACATGCACTGAACGAGGGATGCCTCAGCTCTTTGTTTCTTAAGTTTCCCCTTTAAGAATATTCAAGGTTGCGAAAATGGTGTCTGGCTATAATTTTTAAATGCTACAAGATGTTATCTCAAAGATCAGTTTTATTCCAAAGAAGGTAGGCATCTCTCTGAGATACAGAGGAAAGATGAACACATTTCACTTTTTCTTTGTTTTCTTGTCCTAGGTTCATAATCCAGAGGTGAAACATTTTGAGATTGTTTTTGGAAAATCTGAGATATTTTAATAAGTAGAAATAGCAATAAGAGCATCGGGACCTTTTCCAAGTTGCTCTGACAAAAGAAGGGTAGCTTAGAATTTGAAAAGAAACCATATGGGCCCTGACTTTCCACCAAGGACAGAGTAGTAACATGCTACCACAAAGCAAGAAAGGGAATGTGGGAATAAAGAAACTGGGTGCACCACAGGTCTTCCTCAAAGATGATTTGAAAGATTTGCCCATTCGTGAAGCTTTCCCTCCAGATCCGACACTAACTACTTGAAGGGCATGCTCCCCACACACATTTCTGAACACACACACCAACCACCAAAACAGAGCCATGAGGAATCATTAGCACAAAAACACCATCTCATATCTACTTTGTAAGCATTCTGGTCTCTTGGAAAATTTGACAACTTGCCATCTTTTCTTCCTTATTTCTAAAAATTGTGTGCAGATCTGGCCCCTTTTAGTTTTGCAGATAAATTGCAGAGACAAAAATTATGGCCAATAGCTAAACAACATCTCTGCTAACTTGGGTACCAGAACTTCAGAGCATCATCCTTCTTACTTGTGCTTGTAGCATGTGGAGTCTCCTCTTCATCCTGATACTCATGGTGATTGACAGGAGGCTGTGGTTCCTGGGTTGAGTTTTCTTCATGAGCAATGGTGCTGTCTCTGTCTACATCTGTTGTGATGATGGTTAAGCACACTGTGACTTTTAAACAAATAGTCTTTAATAATCCTTTTTTTCCACTAAAGTACCTAACAGGTACTTTACCGACAGGTGCTATGCCTAAGCACTATCTCTAAGTACTTACTCTCAATAAATCTGAGTGATTTCACTAATCCGTCCTCTGAGAAAATGAACAGGTACAAATTTCTTTGATATTACTTATTCCAGAATAACTACCTTGTCAGAGACAGTACCATAAATGATTCATATATATTCATTTTAATAAAAAGTGACGTGAAATACCTTGTGTCCAGGTAGTATGGTTGATAAATGACACCCATGTGGAGTTGAGTACCCTCATAAAAGTTCACTAAGGATCTGTGATGAGACATTAACTAAATTTCCCACCATGTCCAGATGTTTAACCTTCACAACGTCATAGGCTTTGAGGGAAAGAATCATAAACGAAATGTGCATAACTCATTACCAGTCATCCTGGTGGTTGTCTGAAGTAGTACTTCTGGATTTGAATGGCTTGGCTTCCCCTGGGTCCAGTCCTGGTTCTGTATTGGGTGGTCAGAAACCCGTGGAGTGGATGAAACTGTGATAATGATGATTGAGGCAATTAGAAAATGCTATTTCTGGAGCCTTCGTTGCTTGCTTCGTACATTTTACTCCTCTGTAGTCTACACACCACCTCATCTATACAGGGTTGTATAGATGGTTGAGTGGAAATGGAGAGAAAGGAGAGAGCCTTCCGCTTCATCCGCCATGTTGCTTTGTATCTCAATGTCCTTCATATTCTGTCACAGAATACCTTTGGGTTTAGAACAAGAGATCTTCTGGATAAAATAGTCAAGGAGGTTGCAGCAGCAGGAAGAACAGCTTTGAAAATACTAGCCCTCCACCAAGAATTGCCAAAGACATGCAGAGTTTTGTCATCCATGCCAACTGTAGAAGCCCTCTGCACCTGGAAGTCCAAGCCATTCGTTGGTATCATTGGTAGGTGTGCTAGCTGTAGATCCTTAAGCTGAAGAGGTTGATAGCTGAGTTATAACTCAGGAATCACTATTTTGTCAGTGATTTTGCTGAGGAGAAGAAAACACCACAAGACCCAAAGCTTTCATGTAGATGATCATCAGAAGGAATCTCTGCTTCAGAGCCATTTGGCTTAGCTACATTTTTTCTGAACATACACCAAAAAGCCATGAGATTCTTATTAAGTAAAGAACGTGTTATAAGCAAGCCAACAGAGCCACTGAAAGAGGACCAAGATGCATATGCTCATAGAAAAACTAAGAAGTAACCAGCCACCATCAGCACAGCACACTGGAAAACAAAGACATGTCAGTTCACCAATGCCCCAATAGCATGCCAAATGAAAAGCCTGGGACAGAAAAGGCAAACGAGATCCATTTTGACAGAATCAGAAACTATATATTTTGTGAAAAACTTATTTACAAGTTCATCTTCCTTCAAATTTTACTTTGATACCCAAATTAAAAAAAAAATTACAAGTTAAGAAAATACTTGGTCGTTAACCACATTTCTAATAAGTCTGAAAAAGTGATAGTTAGCCCAAGCCTCCAGGAGAAAGAGGGCATCCTGTTGAATCAAAGGGCATAGGTGTTAGTTAGAAAGTAAACTGAACTTGAATACACATTGCAAAGATAAGGGGAAATGGCATGGTAACTTTATCCCTTGGAAAGTGACCATATTAATGCATTTTCAAGAGGGGCTTTTGAGATTCCTGTGTAGAAAAGCTGCATCCTGAATCCAAAAGATACTGTCATAGTGATGCTCACTGTGTGGGGTTCTTAGGGTTCTTCTCTAATGCTGCTAACCACTGTAGAGTCTCCCATCTGAGGAGTGCACCACTTAAGTCTGTACACAGAAAATCTGGTCTGTCTCTAGTGTTTGCTGTACTGGTACCACACGCTCAGATGTCTTCAAGTCACAAACTACTTTTAGGTCCTGCCCTTGCAGGTCCTATTCACTTGGCAATGAAATCCTCCAATTGCAATGGGGTGGATAAAGCTCCCGTTGTCTAAGATAGCTAATGCAGTACCCCAAATCCCTTCTCCAAATGGTAATTAAATCAGTTTTATGATTCTCATCTCTGTCCAGCAAAATCTTAGCCTCTGACAAGTTCAGGGAAAACAGTCATGGGGCAGAACGGGACATTTTTCTCTACATCCTCCCTCTCAGGGTCCTTAGGGAGTTTTACAGAGCTCACAGATTTGCACATGATTACATAGTGGTACCACTCTCTGCTTTTGCTAATTATCAACGCCTTTTAAAAAGCTTAGCTGGTAGGTAGTCTTCCTTCTACTGTCATTCTGTTATATTGGTGTCCAGAAAGTTGGTTGAAACTTTTTAAAATTTTCCCTTTAATTGCAACCATTTTTTTTGATTAATTAAGGACGTTCTTCTATGTTTTAAGTCATTATAGGGCCTCTCAAGCTTTCAGTCCAGGGTCATGTGCAACTTTTCATCCCTATCCTCCAAGTCACGTTAACATCTGTCCCAGTAGTCCACCAGCCTCCTGTAGGCACAAGTTCTGGCCTTTCCACCCTGTGCTCCCATGGTCTGGCACAGCAGGGACACAGTGAGTATTAGCTGTGGCGTTTTAATATGCCATTCCCTAGCTACACTTGAGAATGAGAACATTCTATAAGAGCAGACATGGATAAACAGAACAGAAAGAAGTGTCTGAAACTTCAGGAGCTATTTTTCTCAGCAATATGTTTTGGTTTCTATTCACAAAATTTTATTTCCTCCTCCAAAATCTCATCAGAATGGAACCGAGGTAAAATCACAGGTTCACATCATCCGTTTCCCAAGAGAGATACCACATCGTGTAGGTCCCTCAGCAAGCCTTGCACGAATGGTTCTACTGTAATTGATTGTTCTTACTGGTGCTGGAGATAAAATCTTCGTCATCATCAATGCCTGCTCCAGAAAAACTGGGGTATTTGTCTGTGTCATCTTCAGTTTCCTCCTTTGGCTCCCAGCCTGTTGGGTTGGTATTTGATTCCGTACCTGTTGTGGTGACTTACATTAGTAGTTGAGCTGGCTACCAAGCAACCCATTTTACCAAGGAGGAAAGTCAGGCATGGGTGGTATTATGGAGTTCCCAAGATTTTAAGAAGAAAGTGAAAGAGTAGGTTCATATATCTGTAAGCCCTCATCTCTGAAGCTAATACATGGACCTTAAAACAATTGGCTGTAATTTTTACAACTCAATATTCTTTAAGGAGGCTAAGAATAACTACGGGCAGAGCCTACCTGAGAAGTTAGAGAAAAATACAACAAAACACAGGCCCAAGCAAATTCCCCTTGCTTTCAGGTGTCTTTCTTATTACATCTTTAGAATATTCAATTAAAACTAAAGAGTCAGGACAAGAATAGGACGGTTTTATATATCCCTATTTGCTCTGTCAAGACACCTGCATTAATACTCCAATGTCAAGTCTCTACTATTACATAGCTACAATCATATATTTTAAATTCATTTTAAAAAGTTATTCTTCTAGTCTTACTTCTTATCAGGTTCATTGATTATATGAAGTAAGGGGCTTCATTTTGACATTTCTAGAAAGGTAGTGCAGTTTCTCAGTCTTTATCTTTCACCTATGTCTCTAATGCAAATAGAAGGAACACTGTTCATCCTTAATAAAAATTCCCATAGAGGAAAAAAGGTCAATTAGCAGAAGTGTTCTTGCCATTTATTATTCAATCAAAAAGGTTCAAAGAGGTTGATGACAGTGGACCTCAGCCCAGAGTTTGAGAATTTCTCACTTTCAATTTTTGGATGCTGCTTTTAAAAAGAAAATGGAAACCTTAGACCTCTTCTCAGCAGTTACTGAAAAGGTGTCTTTTTTATTAAAAAGTTCTCTTCTAACTTCGGAATGCAATTCAGGCTATCTAATGGGATCACCATTTGATTTTCTTATTATTGGTGTCCAACCCAAGATTAAATCAATTGATAGAAATCTATATGTTGGTAGTTTTGCCTATGTTTTTTATATCCTTATAAAAAGTTTTGACTTTGCTATCTTGAGGATATTCCCAGACACTATTTTAGAGTTGGAATGTTCTGTTATCACCAGCATCTTGCCCCACTTCGTAATTTCCCAATTAACTTTATCCTAGGCTATATCGATTCCTATAAAGTATAGAGAAGAAACCATGTATTAGTAATATTAAAAACAAACATAAAGATATCAGAGTTCACGACCCTTCCTAAATTGACACCAACATTTTTAGGACAGAATGACATTTAGACTTGAACCATGTCCCATGGGTTAATGAGAATTATTAAGGGCTGTCAAACAGGCATATGATATATGGTATCTCTGTCTCGTTACCAGGCATCTTCGTTGTCGTATGAAGATGACTCTTGGACTCTGATGGTTGAAAAAACCATGAAAACCAGTCCTGGGCTTCTTGCCTCTTGGGTGGTGTGTCAGGGGTGGTCATCAAGGCTGTTGTAACCATGATTAAATTGATTGTTGAAAGGTTAATTATCAGGTCCTAAGAAATAGCATGGTAAATGCTCCCACTCTCTCCCTATCTTGACGCAGGTAGTAGGAAGAAAGGAAAGAAGAAAAGAAGTTCCATTTCTTTCAGGAACCCAAACTGAAGTCCATAGAATGCCAGAGGTGGAGGAACCTTAAGCACCAAGTGGTCCATGCTTTCATCTAAGATGAAAAGCCAGTGCTAGATACTTGTCTGAAGTCCAGTTGGCAATGGAGACGTCTCAGAAATTACGAGAACTATCTAAAGTTTCAGTCTATAAAAGGATTGAATATTTGTCTCCTTCCCCATGAGGCCAAGTTAAAACCAGTGGTGAGAATTTCAGATATAAAATGCTCTTTTAAAAACTAGAATTAAACTATCAGATGATAACTGAAATAATTTAAGATTGAACTAAACAATTTAAGATCCTCTCCAAATCTGAACCGTTGTGATTTTAGTGGTCAGCTCTTAGGAACCCAAGCCCTTTGATGTTCTTCACAATTGAAGGTGGCTAACCAATATCATCCCCAGGAGTTGAGGGTATGATATTCTGCCGGAAGTAGCAGGCATATAATCCCGTGAATCCCAAATGCAAAGTGAGAATGGAACAGGAAGGACACAGAAGAAGATGTCTTCCCACTGTTTCCCAAGGGGGTGCACATACCCTAGAGACATTCCCCATAATCATTTTCATGTCCACACACTACTTTGCATAAAAGAGCAGTCCATTTTGAGATCCATTTTTTAAAAATAGTATAATGTACCAAGAAAAACAGGAAATGAAGGGACCCAATGACTCCACCAGTACCAAAGCAAGCCTTGATATGAACACTCCCAAAGGCTGCCAATTACATCATCAGCAATGCACATGGAAATAATAGGAAACCCAAAACACCAGGATAAGTTTAAGCAGAGAAAGCTGAACCCATCAGTAAGTTTCCGAATACAACAATCAATGAATTTCCTTTTGCCAGCTATCAAGAGAGCTGAGAACCAATCCAAGAGAGCTGCAGAGCCCTTTCCTTCACGCTATTTGTCCTCTGAAGGTGTATCATGCAAGTCAGAATAACAAACAACATTCCTTATTCTGCCATCTCTTCCCTGCGCCCACCTCAGCATGACATTAATCGCTGTGGTGTGCTAACCACAGCAGAACATCAGCAGAGTTCCATTACATGATAGTTTGTAGAGGAAGGATATAGTTTATCACGGCCTTACAAGGAGAGCAAATGTCTAAGGCCACTTTCCCTTATGACACCCTGTCTGCAGAGAGAATGCCTATTCAGAAATTACTTATCGATATAAGTTAATAAATGAAGAAATCCCTATTACCTTCCATTTTATAGGCTGATTCCCTTTCCCAACTCTCCAGGCAAAGCTGCCAAGTCAAAATAACTGAGAGCTAATGACCGAATGCTCCCAGAGCTTACGTGTGACCTCTACACGCTGTTATAAAGCAACAGGTCATTGTCATTCTTAAACTTTTTTGTGAAAGGTTTTCAGTGTCCAAAAGAATGAAAAAAACTCCATGCTTCTTGAATCAGTCCTCTCCTATTAGTATGATTGTTTGGTCAGTTGATGTCTTTCTAGAGGTCACCTTCTGAATGAGTCATAGTCATAGGGGAAAAAAAATCATCTGCCTCTATGTTCATGTTGCCAAAATGAAAGCAGGGCATTTAGGAGACACTGGATCCCCAGGTCTCTGAGGCCACTGAATGGCATCAGAACCTGATGCCAGCATGAATGTTGTCTCTAGATGATAATGAACACCCATCTCTAACACCTCACTGAAGACAGGTGGCAAGCAAAAGATACGAGAGTTTACCTGCGGTTGATGCCGTGGGCTCCTGAGTCTGTGTCGTGGATTGTGAATTACCAAACCAAAACCACATCCAGTTATTTTGTTTCTGAGTTGCTGCATGGCTGTTTGAGTGCACAGTTGAGGCAACTAGATTAATTATGAAAATATCATTTAGTGAGATTCCCCTGTCCTCTATAAAACCTGTACTCTCTGAGAATATTTCTATTTATTATAGAATGAGGATTTTAAAAACGAAGTCAAGCTCCACTTTTATCTTTCCAGCCTCCTAACATCTCCCAGAATTGTAGGGCCCCAAACAGCAGATCAGAGCATTGGTTCAATGCTTCTCAGTCTTCTATGCCAACGCCTCAAGTCATGACCAGAGAAATCTGAAGCAGCGAACTAACAGCAGTGGGCAGAGATTTGTTCTTCTCCTGATGGCATCTGTCATTCAAACGTGATCTGGAGGCCTTCCGTGCAGCATAGCTTACAATGACTTCATCTTTGGAAGGTCTTTGAGGACGTCTGCATCTTTTCTGTCTGTTCAACGTCGTGCCCAGGTAGTCTGAGACATCTGGCTCCACCCACACTCATCAAGCACAAGTTAAACTTTATCGTTGGGCAAGAATTTTGGAGATAGTGCAAATTTAAAATGTTGTCACTAGATGAAATTTTCTCCAGTATCTATTACTTTCCTACATAGAGCTGATAAAACTAAAGAATCACTGAACTCTATCCAAGTTAGAGAAAGGTTAATAAAAACAGTTATTAATTTAAAAAAAATCTTTTATCTGACTTTCAAGTTGGACTGTTTCCAGAATGTTTCTCCATAGAAACAAGATGGCAAATTTCATTGAGATAAATATCTGAATCAGATCTAGCTTTAAAAAGAAAATGTTTTAAATCAAACAGTTCTCCGAAAACCTTTGGTCTTCTCAGACTGCAGGTAGTTCTTGTGTACCATGGAGAACCCACTGGATGTCATGTGAACTCCATTTCAGAACTGGGACATCACACACAATGAGTGTCAAAGATCACATTAGTGAGAGCAGAGATAGAAGTTATTCACAATGGCCCAGTAAGATACCCACAAGAGTCTACAGACTCCCCATTATTGGATATTCACTAAAGATGCTTAGTTTCGTCGCTTACCCTGAAGTACCCCAGAAAAAAAGAGCTAACAAGAAATGGACATGCAGGAGACACATGGGCATCCTTTCTCTCTTCCTAAATGGAGTTGTGTGAGAGGAGACAGTGAAAGAAATGTCAGCCTAGCCATCAGTTTCTGATTTGCCCCACCCAAGTAAGGTCATGCGAGACAGAAAACAAATTATTCATTTGACACCCAGAAGACAGGAAGTGGAACTTTCCAAGGAAAGAGCCTATTTCCTAAATTAGTTTAGGCTTCTTGATTCCAGAGAATTCCAGAAGGCCAATAAGAAAGGACTGATGACACACCCCCGGTCAGACTCTTCCAAAAATAATATTTATAATTAACAGTCAGTGGGAAACTCCAAGTCGAAAGAGCCTGTTGTTCCTGCTAGTTCTCCCTGTTGCCACCCACTGAGCACCCTTGAGAAAGGAATGAGCTAGTCTGGCTAAGCCAAACACGGCTTCTTCCATGTCCTCAGCCAGCCTAGCTCTTGACCTCTGCTCCCCTGCACGCTAATCTGTGTCCACTCCCTCTCACTATGTCTCAACCCTCCACCCAACAGTGATAAGTGAGCTCCTGGGATGCTCCTCTTTGGACTCAAAAAGCAGGATGCTACTCAGAAGGCTTCTCCATGCCAACTCTGTCGTACCATATGCTATGTCCAAGTACCCCTACCCTGGTGGGGGAATTAGCCCCCCCTTCCTCGCCTATTGAAAGGAACTAAGTTGCGTGCTCTGTTAAAAAAAGAAAGCAAAATTCTCCTTTCCCTCGAAGTCTGATCTGCGCTTTTGTTAAATCTCACACACTCCTTTCCTTTGATTTCCGAACTAGGATGTTGTATCCCGGGAGGTGGAGCTACCTCTGACCCCCATAAACTAGAGGGGTGTCTGGACCAGAGAAGCCACACAGTCTGGAGTGAGTGGATGAAAACTTCACACCACCCTGGTTTTTCTTTGCTATCATCCTCTAATTTTAGCTGCCATAGAGAAGAAATGACCGGGGAGGGTGTGGGATGCGTGAAAAGATATGCCTTGAGTACTTGTCCATGTGTGGAGGTCGGAGGTTATTTCCTGCCATACTTTTTGACATAGGAGCTCTCCCTGAACCTGCAGCTCACTCGTTTGAACTGTCAAGCTCAAGTTTTTATGTGGATGTGGGGATCAAAACACCCAGGTCTTCATGCTGGCAAGGCAAGCACTTTGCACACTGAGCATCTCTAAGACCCCAGAATCTGATGGAGGATTTTTTGGACAGACTTCAAAGAATTTCCTGGGAATGAATGGAATTCTGCACCTGTTCACATCCCCCATTCCTCTCACTCAGCAACCTGATAACAGAAATTGAAAACATTGCTAATTTCCATCGGAGTGCTGGGGAGGCTCTCTGACTTCTGAGTGACCTGGGGATTAAAAAGGGCCCTATCTTGAATACTCACAAGCCAGTACGCTCCTGCCAAACCGGGAAGAAGCCAGAGTTCCACCCCTTGTGAGTTGCAGCCAGGAAATGAGAAAATGCACACTATACTAGGATACCCAGTGAAGACTTAGCTGCCCTTTTTGGTTTGAATAGTCCTCCACAGAAGGAGCCCGGTCAATTGAAACCCCATTCTAAACAAACAACAGGGAAAGTACAGAGAGGGAAATGGAGGAGATAGGAGCTCTGAGCACCTTTCCAACAGAGCCCAGCTGCACAAACCCAAAGTCCCCCAGCACAGTCACAGGTATAGCCTCCCCTGCTCTCGCCGCCACACACCCAAAGAGCACTGGAATCTTCCCTAACAGAGTGCAGTCTAGAGCACTACAGCTGGCAAAGGCACTCAGAAACCCCTCACACCACTGTGAGTTTGACCATGCTCCATAGAATACATGGGCAACACAAATTGCTTTTGATCTATTTGTTCTTTCTTTCTTTCTTTTGTTGTTGTTGTTGTTTTTCTTCTTTTTTGAGGGGAGGTCAGAAGGGTGGGGGATGGACCTAGGAGGACTGGGAAGTGAGTGTTATTGGGGTACATTGTATGAAATTCCCAAATAATCAATAAAAATATTATGCTCGTAAAAAGAAAACCCTTCACATTTGTTCCTTGGACCAAAACACAGGAATGGTTTAGAATAGCATGGTTGAGGACTATGACTGGGTGGTACACAATCAGAACCTTGAAAATGAATCAGATTAAAACACAGGGTTTTCAGGCAGGGCTGTAGAAGGAACTCTCGGGATGCTATGCACACTCTGCAGCCGTAACGTTAAAAGAATAGTCTTATGCATAGTGAAAAGAAACAAGAATGAACCAAGCAACAGCAAATATTCTTTCTGTAAGAGGGCTGAGGCAATGCCCAGTCATCAGCAACAAGAGAAAAGAGGCACCTCCCTGAGGAAACCCTTCCAGAATGGCACACCTTATCCCAAACTAAGAGGAACAGAGGCGAAGATGGACGAAATGTGAAAAGCAGGAGACAATGCACACAGACAGGCACAGGGACCCGACCCTCGATGCCTAGGGATAGCAGAAAACACCTGGGTGTGCATCACTCAGGAGGGCCATTGGCATTTGCCAAAGAGTTGCTGTCGGAAAAACACGGCGATTCCCTTCTCCTTACTGGTGCTCGGGGTGCTCCTGGTGAAGTAGGATTCATCCTCATCTCCAGCTGCGTGTTCAGTGGGCAGGGAGGTGTGGAAAATGTAGCCTTCTGAGGTGCTCTTCTCACTGGAAGATCCGCTACTGACATCAACATCGATGTTATTTGAGGCGTCGATGTCTTCTTGGTGTGTCCTATACTCTCCCTTCTTGCTGTAGCGGGTGCCATCACGGTTGACAATAGCTGAGGGGACACAGAGGGCACCTTCAGAACCTCACAGCACATAGATCTTGAGTATAGGAAAGACAGTGGGTTGTCGTGTGACACGACACGCCATTTGAGGCTACCTTCTCTTGCTTTAAGCACATCTGTCTGTCTGTCTGATGCTGAGATGGAGTGGATGAGGTGGAGATGAGGCAGAGGAAGCTGAGGTGCTAGGGAGTCCCCACACTTGAATCTGAGCTTTGGATAGCTCTAGACCAGGTAACCCCGGAAGCTGCAGTTTCCTTACTCGTAAAGGAATGGCCCTGCCTTCTGGATGGGGTCGTGATTAGTGTTCAGCAGAGTAGTTAGAATAACTGGAGGCTCCATCCACGACACCTTTCCCACCCTTTACAGTTTCTTCTGAAATATGTATAAATTGTGTTGCTATTAATCCCATCCATCTCCAGAAAGGATCTGAAATAGAGTTGTATGGCCTCCATAAAGAAGATAAATGTGTAATCCATTAGAAAGATTCTTTCTAAGGGGTAATTTTTGCCAGTTTAAGCAAACCCCTATTTCTGGGTAGAAAACTGATTTGTCTAAATATTACCAGAGATTCAACCATACTCCAGGAAATTCAACTTTAAAATTGGCAAATACACACACACACACACACACACACACACACTCACACACACACACCTTAAAATTGGCAAATACACACACACACATACACACACACACACACACACACACACACAAATCTTTGGTTTAATAAACAATTGACCAGAATGAATCAGAGGATGAAAAAGTACACATTAATTTTTTATCCATTCTTAAATGTATATTTTTTTGCCTTGAGCCTCAATCATTTGCTATACGAGGCTACAAGTGTGTATTCTCTGGGAATATTTTCTGCTGAATGGCATAGGTGGTACCAAGGATTCCTTATTTTTCACTTGTCTAACTTGCTTAAATGAAACTATTCGTAAAACAAGTGTTGGAAAAAACTTTCAAAGGTCTCAATCACCGTGACAGTGACTGCAGAAAAAGATCTGAGATTATTGACTGCGAAGGACTGCATTCTGCTCAACTTCAAGCTAAGACAATGTAGATTGCCTTACTTTTAAAAAACGTATAACTTATTTAATATTTGTGTGCACCTGTATGAACTTAGTGTACCATGTGTGCAGGAGCCCACACAGGATAGAGGAGGGAGTTTGATCTTGATGTTGCAGGCATCTGTGACAACCCTGTTGGGGCTAGGAACTGAAACCAATTCTGTGCAAAAAGCAGTTAGTGCTCTCAACACTGAGGCATCTTTCTGACCACCAGATAATTTATGAAGAATGAGGCTTATTTTGCTTAAGCTCAGTCTAGGCTGAGAAGTTCAAGAACACCACCACAGTGTCTGCTTGGGATCTGCTGAGGGTATTCTTATTGTCTGCCATGGTATGGCAGAGCGTGTCATGTGACAAGATAGCAACAAGCCTGCTTCTTCTCCTCATCACGTTATAAAGCTACCAATGTCATCAGGCCTCCCTGTCTCTACTCATCCAATACCAATCACTTCTCAAAGATCTCAACCCCAATAACTATAAATGTGTAAAATTGGGAGGTATGTTTCCATACATGAACGCTTGGAATGGACATATTCAAACCATGCTATTGACCAAAATTATAAAAGTCTGGACTTTGAAGGAAATTTTCAGGAACTGTGGAGCTGGCATTTCTCTCTTTCTTTCTTTCTTTCTTTCTTTCTTTCTTTCTTTCTTTCTTTCTTTCTTTCTTTCTTTCTTTCTTTCTTTTTTAATTTTCGAGACAGGCTTTCTCCGTAGCTTTTTTGGTTCCTGTCCTGGAACTAGCTCTTGTAGACCAGGCTGGCCTCGAACTCACAGAGATCCGCCTGCCTCTGCCTCCCGAGTGCTGGGATTAAAGGCGTGCGCCAGGAACTGGGCATTTCTTAAACATCTGGTATGGGCCAGGCACACATGAGACACATTAGAGTTGCATGATAATTCTTACATGATGTATCTTATGCCTAAGAGAAAACTGAAGCTCAGGAAAGATTGTCGCTCTAATATCATATGGAGCTGTTGGGATGGGAAGCATCCTCTGACTGATACAGGCACAGACCAAGGGAGAGGCTGGATTCCCACAGTCTAGGGAGAGCTCATCCCACTACTACTGCCACCGTGTCCACACACCCTGCTGGGGTCTGGGCCCAAGGGAGCAGAAATAAACCTTTTTCAACACTGTTCTTCTTTCCAGTGAGAAAAGAAGTGAAGGTACTAGGGTTTACAAGTTAACCAGTTGGGAAGTTCTGGTGAGTGTTTTCCATCTTCTACATTGGTCCACACAATTGTCTAGAGATTATCTGAGGTGGCTGTGGTATAAATGGTATTGAAACACATCCCAGGAAGCTTGTGGCCTTCATAATCAAGTACTTCAGTTATGTCAGCAAGAGAATTCCCATGAGGGTGTCTCCATCCCTCAAACTGCCTTAACCTTCTATGTTATCAGAGCACAGCTCAGGCACACAGTCTCCAACAGCTTGAAGTTAAAAACTATCATTTACCTTGTCTTGCACTTAAGTTGATTTTTAAGGTTACCTTCAACTTATGGCAAATGGTGTTAGTTCTCCATTTGCAGTTTCTTTGGAAAACAAATGTATTCTATGTAGAAGAGAAAGATCAAGTAGACAGTAGCACTGTGGAGTACACCGACGGGGTCCCAGTGTGCGACAGTGGTTTTCAGACGACTGATGTTTCGGGAGTGGGGCATAGGGTAAATCAGAGAACAGTTTCAAGGCATCATGGGAAAGGGGAATGGGGTGTTGATCACAGCCATTATCCCCATAGGGAAACAACTTAATAGCCTATTTGGATATTAACAGTAGTAGATGAACACACCTTTCCCAAGAATAAGACAAATCACCCCAAACTAGAAGAGGTACGTACTTATGGTCACTGGTCCTTCGAAGGAATTGGGCAGATCTGTGACAGATGTACAGTCTTCTTCAAGGGGCGCTATGGGGAAGAAAAAAAATCATGAAATAAAAATTAATAATTTAAAAAACTTCTCACAGCTAATATGTCCTATTACTCAGTTAGAATAGAGTTTGTCCTAAATAACTTCTCCTGAAACTTGATAAATCTATGAGGAACTTCTCAACCCTTTTTGATGTGTTTTTACAATCTTATTTAGTGTCAAAAATTTACTATTCCCACCCCGGTAACATCACTCACTAAGAAGCACACGTGTTCTAGGGCAAATGTGCTGACATCTGTAATCCCGGAGCTGGGGAAAAGAGACTGGGTTATCCAAGGACAGTCGGAGACATGCATATACCTGGCACAGGGACGAGCCTGATGGTTCACGTTTAATTGGTAATAAGACAGACGTGGCCCTTCTCCAATTAAGCATACAATTAAAGAGGAGTCTAAATCTCTTTTCAGTGGAAAAAGATTTGTGTAATCGTTGTGACTAAAGCTATAATGAAAGCAGGTACAGACTATCATGGAAAATCATTTGTAATCCCAGGTATCAATGGGATGCTGGGAACTGTGGTGAACACACACGATTGACACGACTATCAGAAGACTATGAAGATATTCAAATATGTTTTAAATAGATATGTTAATAACAAGTGAATTTACCTGGTAACCAAAATATTTAGTAACCAACAAATTCCCGTTCACTTATTACAGCATTAATGGCTTCACTAATTTGGCTGGTATTTGTGAGTGCCTCCTCCACGCTCAGGGCTTCACAGCTAGGGCTGGCCGCCTTTGGCATGGGCACCCACGCTGTCTTGGCATTTATCATTTGGCTTCTTTTTTTCCTGTCTTCCATTTATCTTTTACTCCCACTCCTTCTTTAGGATTCCATGCCATGACTTGGGCTAACTGGTCAACCCTAGGTGTTTCTAGGCGCTTTCTGGCCAGTATTTCTGGCCTCAGAAGTCAGGACCAATAATTCCTGATTTGTGTGTTATCCTTTAAATCTTAGACGCAGACAACAGCAATTTAACCACCACCCAGTCATGCCCAGATGTTTTATTAGTGGGTATGGAGCTTTTGAACTGCAGGGAGCTATAAAGTGGCATTGCTTTCACGTAAAGGTTGCCTCCACTTGTGTGCTGTAGGTCTACCTGCTCTGTTTGTTTTTCTGAGACGCAGGCTGCTCTTATTCTCATAATCCTCCTGCCTGAACCTCTTAAGTGCCAGGCTTACAAGAGTGCCTCCCTCACACCCTAAAACACCATAAAAACAACAGCTTTTATGGTGACCATGGCCACTTTGGCGTTAGATGACAATTTCTTAGCGTGCTTTCTCCTAGAGCTGCTTTCTGGCAAAGAGAAAAGAAGAAAGAGATTGATGGGTGGGTGTGTTGGAGGGACAGGGTAGCAGAAAATGGGCAGACAGGGGTCACAAGGAAGGCAGATGTCAAACATTTTCAAGTTCCCTGTCATATACTGTTGCCCACTCATAACACAGGCAGAAACAGAAATTGGGCAAGTAGGTAGTGGCTGCTTCTAAGTTACTAGAAACACCTTTTGCCAAATATAAAGAGACTGGTTGTTTATTGTTTATTTGTTTGCTTGTTTGCTTGCTTTTTTTTTCCAGTCAGTTCTTTGAAAGCAAAAGCTGCTGTCAGCTGTAGACAGAAGTAGGAGAGTATGTTTTACAGAAAATATTCTTGTAAAAGTTGCTGTGAAAAGTTCATAAAGGGAACCTTTAAATGAGAAAGTCACCAATGGTGAAGTCAGTGCTCCATCCCTTCCCCAAACCTATCACCATCGCGTGTCATTCTTTCGTTTCTTCTTCATGTGCACTATGATCTAAAATTCTCTCGCTCATGTTACTCTCATATGAATCTCACGCCACCCACCTCCTGCTTCCAACCCTGCCACAAAGAGGCGTGGCCTCTACTAAATGAGTAGTGAGTTTGTCTGCTTGGCCCAGAACATTGCATGAGAACAGAGAGACACTTGGCATCTATTTGTCAAATGAGAGAAAAGGGGAGGAAAGGTCCCAATTCCCACAGAAAGTACCCCAAAGATGCTGTCTCCTAAAATGGTTCACAGCTATCAACAGGTCTGGAAGCCTGTGGAGAAGCCTGGAGAGTGAGGCCCCGAGTAGTTATTAAAGTGTTAACTGACTCTTTCTAGGGGTCACTTAGCATTTGCAGGCCAAGTGAGAGAAGAAAGCAGACAAAAGATGAGCCTGCTTCTATCCCTGATTCTAATGAATTTATAAGGTCAACACACTTATTTCTCTACCTCTATATTTCTTAAGACATTCTTCAAAACACCCTTATTTGAGAATGCAGCTACCGGAGAGATTTGGGGGGGGGGTACCTATTTTCTTTGTCTTAGGCTGAGCCAATCTGTGAGATGCTTCTGGTGTTTGGATGCAGAGCATCCTCAGGAGTGGGGCCTGTGAGTGTCTGGAAGCGAAGTTGTAATGAGCTGAGCATGTCAACAACAGAGTCTAATCTGTCAATGATGAGAATGTGTTCCCATGGAACCTCTTCATGCTCCATTTCACCTCAAACTTCATACAGAAATTCAGTCTGTCCAGGATGCCAAGATGCATGGTGACCCAAATTTGCAGTTAACGTATTCCTGCCCACGCCACTCACGTGACCTCATTAGATGGAGCTTCAGTCTCTTAAGCAATACACTGCAGGGAGTGTCCCCAGCACAGGGACTTGTTAAAGAAATTCTAAGTTGGGCTTCCCCGGGGCTGTATTCTTAGAAAGCTTGGCTCCGCTGGCTCCAAAGGACTAAGATAGTAATTGTTTAGTCTAGGTGTCAGTCTCTGGATGCCGGCAGGAAGGGCGCTTCCTCTAGGGTTGGTACCTTATAGGTGTTCCGTGAGTAAATCTTCCAAACAGCTCTCAAATAAATGAGTGAATGGACAAATCACGAATGTAAAATCTGCTCCTTATCTCTGCCCTAAGAGGAGGACGAGGCATCTTACTGAATCAAGCTTTAAAAGATGGGCTTGAGTCAGTCATCTTCGTCCCTTCCCCAGAAGTCACTAGACTCATTTATGTTGGGTTTTAGATACTGAGAGAGGGCAGGAAAAAAAATCACACAGCCTTTTCCTGGGGTTTGCTGTGCTTTTAACTGGGGGGGGGGGGTCACAGAAGTATGGGGTTTAATTTGTAGAAGTTACCTGCTATGGTATTGCTGGGTCTTCTCCCTGTTGCTAGTGTACGGGCTCCCACCCCTGGGACCTCCAGGTTGCCGTCCTGAGCTAGGTATAATCTAAGATTCTTTCCAAGATGTTCTTGGCAGCACACTGGAAGCTGCCAGGATCTTCATTTCCTGCCCTGACATCCATGATGTTGACTATACTCAACCTCAGCCACATTTATTCTTGCCTCCCTTTCTGCGTTTTCTGTCTTACCGCTTCAAGAAGATTGCCAATTCCTTTAAGACAAGAAACACACTTTTTGGTTATTTCTTGCCCTCTATTTACTTAGCACAATAGTGTGTAGATACTATTAATAAATATTTATTGTCTTTGAACTTAAAGAAAAAGCATTAAAGCTTATCAACACGGAATCCATGTGGAAAATAGATAAAAAATGAAATGTAGTATTATTTTTAAACTTTACTGCTTCTAACACAGTCATTTGGGGAGGAAGCATAGCGTTGGTACTTCTCCCGGTTTTTGACTGAACTAACACCTGCTTCTCTAAGGAGAAGAGAGTTCATTAGCACTGGAGATTCCTGTGCTGGAGATGGACCCAAATTTGGGGGTACCATGAAGGACAGAAAGAAAGCTGCAGTAGCTGTTTGCCTGGATCGTTTTGATTCCTGACCATAAAACAGTATGCGCTTTTGCCTGTTTCAATTAAATTTCGTAGACCCTTAACTCAAAGTGACACCAGCTTGTAAACCAGCCGAGGCAGTGTGGGAACACAGTCCTGTGATTTACTGCGTACTTTCACGGAACAGGCTTCAGCAGGAGAAGCAAAAACAGAACCTAAAGACTGGGAGCAACAGGCAGGATCCTCCCAAACTTCATCGTTGCCACCCGTTCAACCCCTTCATTCCTGACCCCTTGTACAAAGATGGAAGAAGTTAAGCCAGGGCACTCTTTGCCTACTTCCTATTTACCCATCTGAGCTTGGGGGTCATTACACTACATTTGGTTCATTACTTTACATTCATCCGTACACAGGGGACGGACAGTGCCCTGTGTAGTTTCAGGTGCACTTCCTCATTTTGATCCAACTCCATGTGTGTTCTTTGTTCATATGATAGGGAGAGGTAGACTTGCTGTGATTTTTCACCATGTCTTGTGTGTGTATTCATGTCCCATATGTACTTGGAAAAATTCACTGGGTTCATATACTGTATTTCAATTACTTGGCTTCAATTCACCTCCTTCCCCCAAACTCTAGATTTTTCCTCTGAATCCCCATGTGTTCCTCAGTGCTTGTGAAACAAAGGGTAGGTGGCACGGGCACACTGGCACAGTCTAAGGACACTGATGTAATCTCCTGCTGCCCTCCCTCCATGCCCCCTGTTACCTTAAAAGCCCACACAGTTTTTATACGCCCCCCCCCATGGTATTATACCAGCTATGGTCTCATGGGGGTAAAGTTCTAGCCACTTTCCAGCATATTTAACATCTTCCTTCGATGTCTGAGGAAAATTTACAGTCCTGGAAGATATGACAAATTCACCTCAAAGTTTTTCCTTCCCTAACATATAGTTTCAACCCTTCAGGGAACTAGAAGATACAGTTTGAAAACTGAGACTTTTGATGGTTGGCATTTAAAACTTTGACATTGATGGTTTCAGTTCGTCTCAAAAGACTTTGAATAATGTATAGTGCACAGAATTCTTTGATTTTTTTTATGTGTGTGTGTGTGTGAGTGTGTGGTGGCTTGAATAGACTTGTAAGCATGACTTCTAAGCTCATGGCTGGGAAAGTTTTCATAGACAAAGGAGGGAGCCCAGCATCTCGGTTTTCATTTAGCTTTCTTACTCCTGGTGGCCTCAACCACTGAGTAAGGAACCTTTTCAAGAAGGCCAATGCTGTCATATCCTCTTTGCTTTTTCACTAGCTCCATTTATAATATTTTCAGTCATTTAGCTTGCACCTCTAAACGATCAATAGATGAGTACCACTTTTCTGCAGAAATTGCTTCGATTTCTCAACCTACTGGAGGAGCTAGTCACCCCTCCGCTAAACCTGTATAACTTCTTTGCTTGTAGCTCTATCCTCTGACTGGGCTTATGCCACCTTGTATTCCCTGGTATTTGTTCAGTGGAGTTAAGACGCTCCTGTGCCCACATCACATGGCCTTCTCATCTGCCAAGAGCTCCACTCCCTTGACTGTGGCTCTCCAAAGCACTTCCTCAGATGCGCCCTCCCTGTTCACCTCTCAAATGACAAGCTTCCCCTGAGTTTGGGCCCTCCTATGCTGCCTTTTTTCTTTAGCACTCTCCAACCTTGTGTCAAAGAATTGATATTTGATTATTTATCATCAGCTTCCCAAGCCTGGCACGTTAGTACCATGGATAATAGAGTCTAGCTCTTCCTTCTGTTATAGAGACTCCTTTTGAGTGGAAGTTTCAGGAAGCTCCACCCATGCTTTGACTGAACTACAGTCAGCCAACCATGCTCCCACAGGCAGCCCAAAGACCATGCACTTAGAACCCACCTGAGGCATTGAAGCAATATGTATCGTATTGGGAAGTATTGGACTGGAGGATATACACTCCTGTGTTGTTGGCTGCGCAGATGGCATTGGGGGTGATCCTCGGGATCACCACATTGTCTTGTATGAATCCATACCTGCCAAGGGAAAACATGAAGTTATTAACTTGCATGGCCAGGATCTCATTTCATAATATCCCATCAAATGACATTTAATGTGCACAACACCTCCACGTATTCACCCCAAGGATGCTAAGGGTCCCAATAACCAAGTTCCATAAAATCGAAAATCACCAGCACAGGAAAGTAAAGATGGTCAAAGCTGACAGAGGCAAAGAGAGTTCGTTTAAAGACTGGGAACTGATGATCATTCTTGTTTTTAACCAAAAAGATTCATGAATAAACAAAATCATTCCATACAAAATTTATGGCCAGCTATGTTATTAAAGGCATCAGGAAGCCTGGGTTCCAGAAGAAAAACTACACTAGGAGATTGGACAGTGAATTAACTTTATACTTTCCAAAAATGACATATAAAATGAGTCAATCCCCTAAGGTGGCAAATGGGTTGGTCCTCCTTTCAGTCTGCAATTCTAGAGCTGTCTTATTTTGTCCCTCCTTTTTTGTCCTCCCCTTCTCCCTTGAGCCCCTCACTCCTTACTATGGCCAACATGAAGCCTGGCTCCTGTGCTGACTTTGTGAGCCACCCAGACCTGTGGAGACAAATTGGCCATCACTGAACCAAGAGGAGTAGCAATTAGGGCAGCAAATGGCAATGGGTCACTTAACAAAGTTCTTCAAGCCACACACCATCTGCTCCTACACCCATCTGGGTGTTTCTGGGAGTCTGCTGGGGCTGGAGGCCTCTTCAGACATAGTGCACATCACCACCATCCCAGTGGCCATCAACACGAAATGCCTCAAAACATGGCATGCGGGTGGAGAAAATGCTGCTCAAGAGGAAAGAGGTGGGGTGACGGCAAAAGAACAAAGAGGGAGATGCTAAATTTGGCAGGGTTTGAGAAGTACAATGCAAGCTAAAATGCACCTTCTTTTAACTGCCACTGTTGGGGCAACAGCACAGCCTGCAGCACCCAGCAAGGCACATGGAAATGGGAGTGACTTGGAAGCTCCTAAGCTCAAAGTCTCTCATTATGTCCGTGTTGCAATGGGAGCTGAATGACGAATTCCTCGTCCAAACCGACAGGCTGATTTCCCCAAAGTCTCCTTAGCCCGGAGGTGGGAGGGGACACAATTAAACAGCAAGAAATTCTCATGGACCTGAGCGTTGTCCCTAATCAGGGTGGGGCAGACAAGACAGAAGTCCCTGCTGAGGCTTTGTCCCAGCCTGTGAGACTATGCCTTCTGACTTTTGGCAGATATCTGATTCCATAGCTACCTGAGGGAAATTATGAAATTGAGTTTTGAAACACTTAATACCAGTATGGGTACAATGACAGATTTGACAGATTTCTGCAGCAGAAGTTTATCTTCATATTTTTTGCTAAATAATACTCCACAAGGAAACTATTCTTCATCCTGCCCTCCTGCATCATATTGACAAATATGTATGAATAATACGTATATAGTCTATATACATATATTATACATATACAAACTAGATATTCCAGAATTGAATGCATTCTTATGTTCTCTTGGTGAGTTGTTGTGAATTCTCACCACATGGCAGTTTTATACGCATGTACTATGCATGAGTTGGGGCATTGAAATTTCTATACATGTACAAGGCATGAAAGAGTGACTGTCCACAAGGAGGACAGTCCTCTTGTATGCTGTAAGATTGCTTACTCAAACTGGTTTAATAAAATGCCGATTGGCCAATAGCCAAGAAGGAAGTATAGGTGGGGCAACCAAACTAAAGATAATGGGAAAGAGAAGGGTAGGGAGTCAGGAGACTCCAGCAGACACAGAGAGAAAGATGAGCACATAGTCCTGAGAAAAGGTGCCACCACTTGGCAGAGTGTAAGTAAGGAATATGGGTTAGCTTTAAGTGTGAGAGCTAGTTAATAACAATAAGCCTGAGCTATTGGTCGAGCATTTATAAATAATACTAAGCCTCTGAGTGGTAATTTGGGAAGCAGTTGCTGGGTATTTGGGATCAAGCAGCCCCGAGAGAGGAAACTTCCACCAACAGAGAAAAGACATATTTAGCCAGTCTTTGCATCCTCCCCCTAACTCATCCTTTCGAGGGCTTAGTCATTACACTCAGACTGATCACAACCAAACGGAGACTCCTCTACTTACAATCGGTGTGATCCATGACAAGCTTTAAGGCTCTGTTGCTTCATATATAAAAAGTCTTAGTAATAGACAGAGAAGTTTAAGGATTAAGATCAAGGATGTCTTTAGGATGTTCCCATCAGCTCGGGACTCTGTATTCATTCCTCTGGCTCTTAACAGATGAGAAGTCATTGTGTTTCACAAGTATATCTTAACTGCATTTCACAATCATAGGCCAGCTTTCTGAAAGCACTTTCTTAGCCCTGTGACCTAATCAGGGCCTCATTTTAAAATATAGCCTTGGGGCTTGAATAGACGGTTTTTGCTAACCAGCCATCTTTCATGAAGGTCATGGGTCAGGTTCTGTAGCTCCAGAGCTGTCATTCATCCTTTACCATTCTCCTAGACTTAGCTCTGAACCCTTCGAGGCAGATGTCCAGCTGGCGCTGCTCAAAACAATGAAAACGTTCTCTATATAATCTGCGACATTTGATAGGTAAGTGAAACACAGCTAGCGCCATCAAAGAACTCATTTTCATATAACCTAATTTTAATGAACTTAAATGTAACTCACCACGTGTGGTTAATAGTTACTGTGTTAGACAGAGCAAGAGTCTCAGGGACCATTCAAGATGTGCGTGCCTGAGTCGGTAACTAAGGGCCAGGGATAGATGCAATTCGCTTCCATTTAACAGCTTCCTTGAAGAGGGCTGCAGCTAGACTTTCTAAAAGCATTCTGTTTGCATGTGTGTGCATGTGTGTGAGCACTGGAGAGGCAAGAGAACCACACTGCTTAAGCTGGAGACTGAGGTGAGGATTTAGAGCACATATGAAGATTACCCAGATCTTCTAGTGAAATCAAACCACACCAACCACTGGACTGAGGGCGTCACCAAGATCCCATTCACACATGCCACTGGCCACAAAAACAAAAAAATGCATAGGCTGCCCCTGCCTCTTACGATTATTGTGGAACAAAATGATTTGAGGAAGGTCCTCTGGGGGCTTGGGTACCTTGAAGAAAACGTCTCAAGGCTTCTGATAACAGCTTATTTGAATGTAGTCTAGCTTTAAAACTTCCATATCCTTTTACTTACGTTGTCAAATCATAGCAACACAGAAGTCAGCCTAAAAGCTCCAAGAGGGGGGTTTGAAGAACGTGCCTTGTGTCAAGTCTGCGCAGCCAAGACTCTGCCAGCTACCTATTTATTTTAAACACTGTTATTTGGCTCGCGTTTTCTTGTGGTTCCGACAATGATGCTGAATGCTTCTTCAAAGCCAGAGGAGTGCTACAGGAGCACATTAAATAAGAGGCTTGCAACTGATATGACCCTAATGGCTGACCCTGACTCCCCTCCCTCACGAGCGAGCGTATGATTCATCAAGGTGTCTTCTTAAGCTGATCTGAAATTCCAGTTGTCATACCGGTTTTAGGCTGTCTTGGTCAAATTAATAGGTAGGGCTACCTCTTTAGGCAAGAAGCCATTCAACTGTCAGGAAGGAGCCTTCCAGCTGTAAGCCCTGCCCCTCCCCAGTGGACTGTCCCCAGAGAGAGCGCTAGTCTCTTACCTGCAAGTTTCAAACCCTACATCCAGAGCCTTCAGCATCTGCTCCATGGTGGGCAGGGTGCTGTTGAAAGCCTGGCAGAGGTCTTCTGCCTCAGTCCGTGAGATGCTGTAGCGGCCATTTTTCTCCACGTGGAATACACCTGCAAAGCGGCAGGTTATATTCAAATCTGTGGGATCAAACGGAAATGGAAATGTTAGACTCTTCTGCATGAAAAGTTTGCACAAAACTAGATCAATGGTAAGAAGTACTTATGAGTGAAGACATTAAAAAAGACAAACAAGAAAAAAAAAAGTCAAACAGCAGGTTGGGCTGATGGCTCAGCCAGTAAAGTGCTTACTTTGCAAGCATGAGAACCTGAGTTTAATCCCCCCAAATCCACATATAACAGGCTGGCTATTGTGGCCAGCATTTGCAATGCTAGGGCTGGATGTGACAGGTAGATCCCTTGGGCTCACTGCCCAGGCAGCTTAGACTTCTTGGTGAGTTCAGGGCCGATGGGAGACCTTGTGTCTACAAACAAGGTGGATGACACCTGAGGAATTACAGTCAGTGTTTTCTTCTTGCCTCAACGTGCATGTGCACATGCGTGACAGGCCTATAAACGTGAACACGCGCACACACACATGCATACCCATGAAAGCCGAAGACTGCCCATGGCATCTCATGCTTGAAATCCCAGCACTTGGGAAGCTGAGGTAAGAGCATCACCTAAGGTCAAGGTCAGCCTGGGCTACCTGTGAGATACAGGTCAACCACAGCTACAGTGTACCCTTACCTCAACAACATCAACAAAAATCCAAATAGACATCTGTATTGATGCAGCCTTCAGAACTCACTCTGGCTTTCCAAAGATGCATCAAGCTTAAATCTGAGACCTGGCAGCAGAAAGGACCCCCATACTTAAAGAATCTCCATCAACGAAGAACTCATGAGAAACTGACCAAATCCAGGGGAGTTATGAAGGAATACATGTCAGCTACTAAGAAAACTACAAACACACATAATAGTATTGCATATACAGTTCTGTATTTAGTTCCATACTTATTCTTATACTGTGAGCTCGCTTCCACAATCATCTGGTGCTGCTCCTTACCTTATCACTTCTAACACTATATACTCAGCTGCACCCAGGGCAAACTTCCTTCTGGTCAAGAGCAATGCCATCAGGCTGCGGCTTCCCTCCCTCTCCAGCCTGGGAGCTGCGGGCACTGCTCCAACCCCAGAGATCCCCCCCCCCTCGATTCCATCAGGCACTCTGAGCTCCTCCAGACCTGAGACCATACACCTGCCTTCTTTCCTGGGTGGAACACTCTGTCCTTAGAGCCACACGAATGGTTCCCTTTTCTTCTGAATTATCATCCCACCACGTTTTCCCTCAGCAGTGCCCGAGATACCAGGCTAGGATTTAAAACCCAGGTCTGGAGTCACAGAGAGGCCAGATCTGGACTCTCCAAAGTTCAAATTGCCTTCCAACAAAAATTTGAAGCTGGAGAAGGGAATTGCTGAAGGAAGTGACTGGACCGTTTCTCTCTAGAACCACAGGCTCTTCCTGAAGCAAACTTTGTTCTACATTTTGGAGTGGGCTCTGGTCGGAGAGGAGGTTTTAACCCCCCTGAACTGTCCTTTGGTAATCTTGAATCTTTGGGGTTCTGTGTTGCATAATTGTCACCAGTACCCTAAAAGGTAAGCTCTGCTTATATACTTGAATGCTAAGAATCAGAATCCGGGAAGGAATGAAGTAACTTCCAGTAAAAGCTGAAGGTCTGCAGCTTTTAGATGGCTGCAGTAGTAACTCCTCTCAGAGGGAGGGTTGACTTCCCTCAAAGAGGGGTTTGAAGCAGTTTTTCATGTGCCCAACAGTCTTCATGTTTAAAACAGAGGAGAGGCTCACCTAAACCACTGCTTCATGATGACAAAAGAGGGCCCATTATTATGAAGTATGTTTATTACAGGTGCCAGCTGCCTTCTCCTAGAGCAGGAAGCAGGTTCCAAACACGACAAGGCAGTGCCAGACAGATGCAAAACAAAGAAATGAGAAGTCACCCTGGAGAAGGCCCAGGCCACGGGCAAGTTCGTTTCTTTGCCTTGGTTTGTGTCATCAGCAAGCAGCTACTTTAAAAACAGAAACAAAGCCCACGAAACCCTGCAGGGAGGCAGTTGCAGTGAAGGAAAGATGCTCTGTGCAGCTAATTCCTTATCTCAGGGGCCCAGCGCTCTCCGAAGCCACTCATGCAAGCTCTTGGCTGATGAAGCAATGCACACACACCGGAAGGAAATGCACAAGCTCCCTTTGAAACGCTGTTTGTTTTTACTGACATTTGCAGCTCAGTCTCAGCTGGCCAATTTCACAAAGGGACCCTGTCACTCAGGGAGACAGCCCTTCCAGGCCTCTCCTGATCCCGCATACAAAAGGAGAGAGAAGTGTCTCAATGGGCTTCTTGCAGGTGAGGCTGCTGGGGCGACTTCAGTCAGATGCCACCTGCCTGCTCCTGGCCCAGGTGGCTGTTGTCAACTCCAAGGTTAAAAATAAAGGCGGAGGCTTGGACAATGGTCTGGAGATGAGCAGCAGTTTCTTTCTTATGAAAATCGATTCTAGCTTGCCACCTGGCCAACGGGATATGCAAATGCAAGAGAAACCAATGCAAGCGGAGACTTTTGAGTAAAATCCCTTGAGTTCCACGGGCAGTAACCCGTGTTACTGTAGAGACAGTGTGTCCACACAGGATGGTTATTCAGTAAGTGTGCCTGAAACTGCCTGTGTATGTGTGTGTGTGTGGGGGGGGGGCATCAAGGACGGTACAAGACAGAGAAACTCAGCCTTCATCTTGCTAGCTTAGCCCGACATAACACAGGCATCTGAAATGGTTACTGGGCGAGTGAGACATTCTCAGGAAATATGAAGTACAAGTTTCTGTTTGTTTTAATCTTGTGAGGAGGAATCCTGCTCCTCACCCCAATGGCACCTGGACCATTAAGAGTCACAAGGGTGATGCCCCAGACTTCCAGATCAACTGCCACGTGAGTTGTTGATAATCAATCCCTCAGCTTTGGATCACTCTGGCCTTCAAATGGGCCAAACCTTCAGGTCTGTGTATCGTCTAAGCCCTAGCAATTTATGAAGACATCCTAACTCTCTTCCTTATATTTATATAAAGCCTATTTTTTTTTTTACCCCAAAGGGTATTAACACTACCAAGCACAATAGCAGTAGTGAATCCTTCTGTAGATGTCAGGCACTCTTATAAGCATTTTACAAGTGTTAACTAATCATCTTCTTAAAACAACTCTAGGGTAATATTAATCATCACTCTCCAGTAGAGAAACTGAGGCATGGAGAAAAGAAACTATACAAACATGCACGAGGTCACGGAGCTGCAGTGGTAGAGCAGATATTCAAACCCACCCGGACTGGGCTCCTAGGACCTTCTTCTCCTGGCAGGATAGGTAACTCCTCTGGCTTTCTTATTCTGCAAAACATAGCCAATGCTATTTTCAAGTATCATGAGAGCAAGGTGAGATAGAAGTAGCATGGACCAGGGAACATCTCTAATGTAGTGATGGCCCAAGCTCCAAGCAGGGAGGAAGAACCTCAGAATCTCTATCTGCAGTTGGGTCCTCAGAAACAAAAGCCTCTAGGATCTGGGAGTCGCTCTGACTTGTGAGGCAAACATTAGAGCTGGGAAGATAACTCAACCTATATAAAACTTGCTGAACCAGACATGAGGCCCTGTAAGAAAGACAGCTGGGTGGTGTGTTCTTGGAAACCAGTACTGGGGAATCAGACACAGGCTGACACCCAGGCCTTACTGGAAAGCTCGCCTACCAGTCAAGGTGAGCTCGAGGTCAGGGAGAGACGCTGTCTCAAAGAAAAAAGAAAGGTGAACAGCTTCTCAGCAGTGAGAGATATGTTGTCTTCTGTCCTCCACACGTGTGCAAGCACCTGAACACCTACACATGTGCACCCATATGCATACATTCACATGTAAGGGAACACACAAGCCACACATGTACACATGAAGGAACTAATATTAAATAGCAACTACACCTCTCAAACAAGCCCTTCCTTATGATGATCCATTAACAATGCTTCCAGCTGAACCCTCTGGTCTCCAATGCATCTCTTTTATCTGAGTGACTTGAACTGCTAGAGCCCCTCCCTTTGAGAGACAATGGGCTCAGGGAAGGATGTAGACAGAGGCTACATCACGCTGCTCCTTTAGAGTACTAGTTAAAGCAGGTTGTGAGCAGGGCAGGGGCGTCCCCAGGCCCATTCTTCAAGAGTCTGGTTTGCCTGTCCTCCTCAGAAAGACCAGAAAAAAGAGACAGCATGAGTGTCTCCATGGGCACATGGGAAAGGCAATAGCTTAGCCTAGTTCCCATCTTCCCAGCCTTTGCCACTTTGCAGGTGGCACGGATCGGATAAGTAGCTGTTAAACTTCTCTTCATGTTCAGGCCAGAGTCTGCAGGACTCACTAAATGAAACTGGGCAAAAATGGATTTCTAATAACTAAAGTTGTGAGTATTGCACTCTTGTTAACTGCTTAGAAACTTCACCAATACAGTGGCAAAGTCGTTTTCAAAAATTGTATTGTTTTGAAATTAAAATATAATTATATAATTTCCCCCTTACATCTATATATCTCTCCAAACTCTCCTATGTCATCCTTGCTCCTTCTCTGTCTGGTCTGTCTGTCTGTCTGCCTGTCTGTCTGTCTGTCTGTCTCTCTCTCTCTCTCTCTCTCTCTATAT